TATATATGAGAGAGACATTATTGCGTCAGTGATGTTTGTTTTCGATTGAGTTTCGCTAAAACAAATCCTACGTTTGTAGTATGACTATGGCCTACCGGAAAAAATTGACAGTCACAAGAAGCCAAAATCAGACTCCAAGCTTGATACATAGGGAAAATTTTAACCGATGTTTCTTCACTTCTAAAATTTCAGTAAGTTCTGCAAGCGTGTAGGTAAGCGTGATAAATCTGCCACAGTTGAGTTCGATTTGAAATCACAAATATCATTTTGAACGAAAATTACACAAAACGAAGTTCAATTACCACTTTATTGCATCCATTTTGAGATCCCAAATTTAATTGCCCAGAAAATATCTTAGTTACGTTATTCAAAAACTCCTTGATATTACATTCATCATTTTCTTTTTAAGAAAAAAAAGTATAGTTTCAAGAGTAGGTGAGAGTAATGACGCGCAGTTTGCATGGTGCATTGCTTAGGATTTGCACGCGCTTGAAGCGCGTGTAATGTTGCAGTAAATGCGAGCGGTACTCTATATACCTTGCTTTGCAAACCATATTTCTAGCCGTTTTTCGTCGCATCCCGACCACAATACCATATGTCTGTCGACGCCGGGCCAAGCTCCATAAGTATGGATACATTTGTTACTCTTCAGATGCTTCAAAGATCGTCCTGTTCAAAAAGAGAAAATATATAGAGAGGGAGAGAAAAAAAGATAGTGACACACTTGTATTTTTCGATCGGAAATATCTCAAGGAGACGACGAGAACTCGTACTAAAATGGATCAAATCAGTATCTGAGCACCTGCACATCTACTATATTTGTATTAACATTTGCAAGCCTGTTAGTATATAACTTTCACAATGAAGGTGTTTAAGCAAAGAAATGATGTATGTTGTGAAGACGATGAATTAATTCCGGGTATCACTTTCGCAAAAAGGCTGAATGATGCATTTTCTGAGCCCCCTTACTGAAGACATTCACGGTACTTCACAAGGGAAAAGCGCTACATTGTAAATAAATCTTACCTGATGTTCGCTCAAATTTTGAATCTTCAACTTTACAAGTACTGCTTACAACAATCTTCGCACCATTACCATCGCCGCCATTCTCAGGACAGACCATCTTCCCACTGCAACTATGACGTAAAACCCCATCGGCATCAAGCGTGAACTGAAAGTGACTTTCCGTGCACTGACCTGGTTTGTATATCAGACGGTCGTTGTCATTTGGCGAGCAAGACTGACTTGATGGAGTGAGACAAAGATCAAGACCATAGGACTTTAGAGGTGTTGGAGCAGTTGGACCAACTGTAGAAAACAAGGCAATTAATTTATAGCTTGATTTTTTAGAGTGCCATAAGATTGCCAGAAATCTATAAAAACAAGGTTTTATAAAACCATATCATTGGTGTGTTAGCTGCTAAATTATTGAGGTCGCTGCGCATACACAGTGTCAGATCTCAGCAAGTTTATCATGAACAACTGTCAACAAACAATCAAGTTTGTATTTTTCCTCAAAATCACTCTTGATATTTGATACTTGATATTTGCGGAGTGGATTATTTACGAGTGTAGCCTAAACACGAGTTTTTATGGTGACATGATCTCAGCGATTGATAAAATTCGTATTTTTTTCGAATATTGCTTAAATTCCTCAAAGGTTTTAGAAGTACTAACTTTTAGGTCAAAATTCTGATTGAAGTTACTCAATTTTTTTTATTGACCCTTATTGATAAACAGTGTGTTAACTTGGCTCTTAATTTTCGAATTGTTTCAACTTTGAGTACAAACTTGCTTCTCTGGTCCCATCATCTAGGAATTTTTACATTTGTTATTTGGACTATCCGGAATCTGTATTATGTGCGCTATTAAGCCCAGTTCTTGCGAGTCTGGTTAACCGAGGCTCTTCTGTAATACTTCCCCTACCACATCTCAGATATTCTTTGAAATCAAACATTTGGAAACAGAACACCTTTGCCGTCTCAACCTTTTAACTCCCATGAGTGACCAAGAGAGAATTTCCCCTTACAACATCAATACAAGTGATGAGGGTAAAGTAATATGTCAATCATGGGATTGTTGGTTAATTCAATACCAAATTCAACAAACTAACAACATAAGAATTGCATGACAGACAGTAATTAAAACTACTAATAAGACCTTGGGTATGAAAGGTTTGGATAACTTATAAATCAATTAATTATTGCTCAATCACTTATCTATAAATTATTATTTTATTTTTTATACACTCCATATTATTTTTCAAAAATTGAGACTGGCGAGGAAAAATAAAAGAAGTCAAAACAATTTTTTCCATTACAGGAAAACAATTAGTTGCTAACAATTGAAATTTAATCTACTTCAAAGCACTGTTAAATCTGTCTATAGTAAAGGATGACTCATCATCGTTGAGATCATCTCAAGTGGGAAAGAACTTTCCCTACAGTGCGGCAATGAAATTACATTAAAATTACCCTCATCCGTTGAACATCCCAGAAACTCAGTTCTCAGGCAAGGCCAGCCATTCCAGTACTGAGGATTGATACGAAGATATCGAGCATTGACTCTTGGAGAGAGAGGTCTACTTACCACACTATAATAGTTAGTGTTTCCAAGTATAACCTTTATAAAAATATAATGGTCATCGCATTAATTAGCTGCAATTAATGATCAATGAAATTAACATACATAACATTAATAAACCCATCATTCCATGCCCAGATTAGTAAATGATATTTGGGGACAAAATGTAGTCAAAGAGAGAATTGCAAAGTATAATATTCAATATAAGGCGAAACAAAAATAAGGAGGGAAATGATATAAAAAGCGTGGAGCAACTAATGGTAGGCTATCATAATTTTCAGTGCAAGCATGTCTTAAATAAAACATTTTATAGAAACCTTGAATTAGTATGACCATTTGATAACCACAAAAAATTTTGCAAGTGCTAAACTTATCTGATCAGTAATAAATTTTTCCCTACCAGCTAATTACTGTGCAAGACAGAGCAAATAAAGGAATATATTAAAAATTTGCAAACTAGAATCTGCTTGCAGTTAAGTCCCTGCAACACAGTTTGAACTTTCACTACATGTGTTTATATAACTCCTGTTCATCACCTCTCACCTCTCACGTCTCTAAACGTTACTGCAATGAAGAAATTCACTAATGCAGAAATAACACGCTGCTGCACATGCTACACTCTGTAACCCTTTACTTCCTAACATCAGCATTCATTAATTCTCCATTCTTTTACATTTTTTGATGTTTGGACAAGAATAATTTTTTAACAATCGCGAACGTAATTCATTTCTTTACTCTTGTGACCTTAATGTTTGATTCAGGGAGGATGCTGTAAGAAGAATATAGAATCAAGAATTTTAAATTAAGTCAATCTTCTGGGTCAAAAGGCTAAGTAGTGGTAAACGCGGGTTCACTCACTGTTTTGGTCTGATTGCAGGGGTATCCATCAATTATGTATGTATCTCCTGGACACTGTAAAATAAAACAGGACTCGTTTCAAAAATTAACCAAAAAAATCCTCTGCGGACAAACTTGGATATCTTGTCTAATCGCCCCTGCGGGATGCAATTGCCGGGTCATTCATAAATGTGGTGTGAAAAAGTCCAAAGTTAATGCATTTCTTAGAGCTATACTTACATCGCCAGAATCACCGGTGCAGTATTCTGGAACATCACAATCTGTTTCGACTTCACGGCACAACGATCCTTGTTTCTTAAACTAAAGATAAGTGAGTAAGAGGTGATGACTATTACGTTTACACATGTAACTTGGCACTCATTTAAAATAATTTGGAGAAACTTTTTTCCTCAAAGCTTTTATTTTTGCCAAATGTCGAAAAGATAGTAGTCCCTCTGATCACAACAAACCGTGATGTTATAGCCTAGTAACCGCGCCTCACTCTCAATCTCAATCTCAAAAGTCTTTCTGATCGCTTCACGCAAAGACGAAAAAAAACCACAAAAAAAAACCAAAAAAATATTGTTATTTAATCCTGAAACATGTTATAAATCCTTTTCAATTAAAAAAAAATTAGATTTTATGACTATAATATTATGCCCAAAATTCAACCAGCATAATTTATCTGGCCCTAGTTCCGGGGGAATGTTTCTTCTGGAAACAAAAAAGCAAAAAAAACAAAAAGCGAAAAAAAGAGGTTTCATTTTCGCTTGAAATTCCCGGCTCCTCTGTCCCTGTATCATTTGCGTCCTTGAATCAACCGAGCGAAGTTCCACAGGCGGGCAGATTAGGGTGAAAAGAAATTATAAACTATTTAAGTTCCCTAGAACCAATGGTGTGTACTCTCAGAGAATTTACATTAAAATTCCATCAGAAATCATTATATCTAATGCAGTCAAAATTGACAGCTTCCTAGAATTGAATTGATTTTGAGCTTATACTGCATTACATTATTTACCAGGCAGTTTTCGCAGCATGAATGATGTAGGTCACTGCACTGTGATTCCCTTTTGAGAACACACTTGTAGGGTTGACAACAGGAATCTTTTAATTCACACATCTGAGGAAAATAATGAATCTTTCCTTATTCATCGAAAAAAAACTTTGACTTTTCTTGCGTCGATTTAGAACTTTAATTAACTAATTAACGTTCGTAAGTCAAAACTCTTGGACTGTATAACAGTAATTAGCTGAATTGAACTAAACTAAATTGAGTAAATTAGAAACTAAGAGTCGGAGCTTAAGGCTGGGCGAAGACGAATTTATTGTTAGATTCGTTACCTTATTGCGTGAAAAGATTACTGTTATCGAGTTCTTTCAATGATGATCTTTTTTAGCTATATTCGTCAAAAACAAACCATCTTACGATCCGTTTTCAGACAGGCGGGATCATATTAACTAAGTTAGACTTATTCTAGTGACTTGAAATATAGGAATTGACCTGACATTGACTGAATTGTGTTTAAATTATATTTCAACCTAACTCATGTAATAGTATAGTCTCCAGTTTAAGCCTTAAGCGCGGCTCTTCATCGTTATTAGAGCCAAAAGTATCACCACTTCTCGTTATTTCCAAAATTCGTTTATTAAATAATATTCGAGAGACATCTAAAAAGAATTAGAACTTTTAAAAGTGTTTTTTAACAATTTTTCCAAAATCGTTGTCCTTTGCCCCCTCTTTTTTATTATTTTATTTTATTTTTTCATTGTAATCGCTATCATCCTTACATTACATAGAAAATGACCAAGGAAAACAAAATAGAAAAATCAAAGCAATGAAAAATAAATTATAAAAATGTAACTTAACAAACCTCCGGAGTGCCACAGTCACATTCTTCTCCTTCTTCGCGAATTCCATTTCCACAATAACCGTTAGCAGACTTGAAAAACAGAATGTCAAACGAAACTGAAAGTCATCTTTCTATGTATTGATTACACATTGACGTTATTGCATGTCAATAGGTAATGGCGAATCAATCTTTTTATATTGTTTTATCTAGAACAAGTTTTAGTTGGATAGATACACTTTACAGCTGCGTATATTTGGTGAAAAATGGCAAACACTGACGGGGTATAATGTCACCTAAATACCTCTGACACCAACAAACCTCTTGACTTAACGCTGTGTATGTTATAAGGCTGAAGTTTGGTTAATATAACATTTGATCGCTCTATTACTTTGGTAAATACTCGTTCTTGAAATCAAAATGTTTACCTTGTACGATGGCACGTTATATAAGCACCAGTCATTCAGTTTTTGAAGCTGAGTCAAACTGCAGTTAGAAAATCCTGCAACTCTGGTCCTGCGAGCCAAATTGTATATCTCTGTGATTAGCCCGAAAAACTTGCAACGACCTTTTTAGCACACATCAACCTTACCAATCCCAATACACGAATGGAGGAATTAATTACGTTTGAGTTCCTTGCTATTTTTGCTCAATGTGATTCGTGGTACTTCTTGCCACGATGGGATTTTTTTAAATCGCCATTCTTTTCCTATCACGTGATTGTTCGTCTATGTCAAAGTAACCCCGATAACAGTACTGACGAGGTAAGAACGGTGTTAGTAACTTTGCAATGTTTGCCTCAAGATGGCTGCTTGTGGTTTACAGTTTGGTTTTGGTTCTGGAACACCCAATCAAAAGATTTTGGAATGAGTCATGTAACTTGCCAAAGACGCCTGTTTTATTCCAAATGCATTTGCTTACGGTTTTTCACCATGTACTACCGAATTTATCTGTGGCCAATGATCAAAACAATGACCAGAGAAATTAAAAGTATTGTTGACTGAACACTCGTCTCATGTTTCGAAATAGCATGCACGTATTCATGCTAATAATATACAGGAAAAAAAAAGCGCTTTTGATCGGTCGAAAACGAGTGCATATTCATCTACATCTAGTGCAAAGTTGTATTACAAATATTAGAGAAAAAAACATACTTGTGACCGCCCATGATGCAACCTCTTGGGGTCAAACACTTACAGCTTCCTGCGAAAAGAACAAATTATTTTCGATAACTTATCGAAAAGTGCAGACAATCTTGTGAATAACCACTTAGTTGTAAATTCATTTATGGGTTTGCACTACGGAATTTTATCAGATAATACGTTACAATAAGCAAATAACAGAAAACCCAAACAAAAAAGGATGTGTTTGACCTGGTAAATGCGTTTTTCAAAATTAGGTATAATAATTAGACTAACAATGTTCTTTACTCTCTACAGGTCAAACAACACTAGTAATTTGTAAATTTGCGAAAATATGGAATAGATTGTATAAATAAATGAATGGATAAAGACAAATAAAGGATTAAGTAAATTCAAGTTTTTTTCCTGTGAATAATACAGAGAACTCTTAGTGTAATCGTGGAGTGCGATCTCGTGTTTCCTGAGATCGACTACGGAACTCAGTCACATGGGGTCTATTTCTACCTGTGTCATGGTTAAATCCAAAGTTGTGACCCATTTCATGAGCAACAAGCGCGTAAGGGCCAATGATATTTCCATAGTCCCACTAGAATAGTAAAGTTGAACAACTGGTGTCAGTATAAGATAAACAGCAGCTAAGAAAACTATTTGGCCTCTTTAAAATGATTCTACTTAAAAATATTGGTTTTTTTCTTCCTTTTGTCCGTTTTTATTGTTTTATAGAGGGTTTTTACGTGTGCTATAATGCTTACGCGCAGTATGTAAAATTTTAATTTATACCATAAGTGCAAACTGACTCCACTAACTTTGTTTTTATCACAAAACCCGAATAAGCAAACATGTAATGCCGTTTTTGTTGAGGTATTTGCTATTCAGGTTGAAAGGGTAGTCTTCCTTATGATTTTCATTCATATTTATTGACAGTGTGACAATTTCTAATTTTTTTTTTCTAGCTTACGTTATTAATACCACTTGATACAGAGCCACACATCGCCATCACGAATGCCATGCCAGAACAGTCAGACCAACTCCAGTCGCTGAAACCAAAAAGAAGAGAGCAACTCGAAGCAGCTCCTCTACTGAATAACGACAAATTTTTATAAGCTACGTAAAAATAATGCGAGTTTTTTTGTGGCCTGAAAGACCATATAATTTTGTTTCCTACTGTATTGAATTAGACTCGTTAACCCTTTGTAGCTTGTGCGTTTTAGGCCTTTAAAGGTAGCGGCTCAGTTTTTTAAGTTACATAAAAAAAAACTCATCCTTTTTGCATCCAAGAAATTGTCTTTGGTTTACTAACTTATTATAATCATGGCAACCGTATTAAGTAATGTGGTTTAATAGTTAGCCTAGGGCTGTGTAAATTTTATTTGCTTTATATAAACAAGATTATACTCGGCTGCCATTACAGTAATTTTTTTTTAACGCTGCGTGCTTCAGTTTTCCTTTTTTTAAAACATTTCAGGAGATTTTAAGAAATCTCAGGACAGATATCAAAATCAGCATGCTGGATATTTGTCAAATCCATGCCTTAATCATTTGATTAGACGAAATCATTTTGGGATTTTTTTCGTAAGTCTACTTTTTTCATCAATTAGAAAATGTTTTGTCATCTATACATAAATGGAGGTACTCCAGATCTTTATCAGAGAAGAAGCCGGGGTAGGTCGAGGAAATGGCCATGGTCGACGACAAGTTTATACATGATCACATTTAAGTCAATAAAATCAATGAATACAAGCAATCATTGTCTTTGAAACGAACCTCTTGATCAATGTAGTTTTTAATTCACAAGAAAATCTCTCAATAACGACTTTTTAAGCCTTAAGTCGTTTGGAATTTTTGACTTAACAGGAACTGAGAGTTTCTTACCTCAATAATTGTGCGTTGTCATGAGGAATTGTTTTTGCCAATATTTCTTTTCGATAAGTGTTAAAGCGACCAAGGTCGTCTCCTCCTTTCTTTGAACGTTCAAAAGCTTCGCCGTTCGTCCAAATTTCCAGCCCCTTAACCACGATTCTGATATTTATCTGCTGATAAATCTGAATGAGGAAAATTAATCAGGACATGCTAGACACTCCGCTAAACTGATTCGATTGATGTTGCTCTCCCCTAGGGACGAGGGAAAGGGCTTTATATTTCAGAAGATGAATATTGACTCAGTGTAAGTAAAATATTATGGTTTGAACTATCTTAGAGCAACAGTGAATCTAACATCGTGATCTTCGAAGAGTGAGTCACTTTGAAAATAAATAGCAGACCTGTACCATAACTAAATGGGAAGCCACTTTCTCGATCAACTGGAAAGCCCTTGATTTATGATTTTTAACTTACATACTTTCAGACGTGTGGTAACTGCTAAAAAAGAAGCTTGCAACTTTTTCGGTTCCTCACCCCTCCCCCTCTTCACTACCCTCCCCTCCCTTCATTCTATCATTAAAAGACTATGTCTATATTAGAATCTCTGCTTCTAAAACTGTATACTCACGGCATCAACAGCATTTGCCAGTGTTACAACGCGATCTTTAATGACATTGGTGTCATTATTGTATTTCTGGTACTGAAAAATAAAAATCGAAAAGCCCTCAGAAAATTCTGAATCTGATGTAGAAGAATTAAACATTTAAACCAGGTTTTAACCGTGAAACTCCGAGAATACTTCTCATTAAAGTATCATTATACATTATTAAACAATTTTCTGAAAAGGTTCTGATATTTTTAATTCATTAGGAATGTTATGGTGACACTCCCACTTTCGTATGTCAAAGGAGTGTTTACAGCCATAACAATATGAAAAAAACAAGGCAACGAGATGAAAAACACTTGGCTGTTTGATAGTTTCATCGTGTTTAGGCTTTTACTCCTAAGAGACACCAACAGCTATTTTCTCTCTGCCTTTTTTACTCCCCGGATTAATCTTCAAGGTCGTGAGAACAAAGGAAATTATCGTTCTTTTAAAAACTTCTTGATAATTTATCTTTTGTAGGACCATTGGAAATATAAAGGAAACAGTATGAACTAACACCTAATTGTCTCAAGTAGTAAATGCTAGAAAATTTATGGCAGCTGGAGGCTACTTACCATTCCAAAATCAACAACCATAAGCACTTCATTGTATCGTGTCTCGCTTGTTGTCAGAAATGGTTTGTAGAATTCATCAATGTCACCCAAAACGCTTCTTCTTGCCTATTAGTGAAATGAAAACGCAGAAAACACCTAATCTAATTGTAATTTTTCATGCATTTCATCCATTGATTCTTTGATTTCTATAGAAATCTAAAACTTAATAATAGGAAAATCATAATCAGCATTTTACCTTAGAGAATGACCTTGGATTTCCATCTGAATAATGGGAATCTGCGTGAGTTGCTTTGTTTCCTGAGGTAAAGTAAATACGACCAAAAAGTCATGTTAGGAACAAGCCTTGCTGAAATGACCACAGCTCTTGAGACTCTTTCATTACAAATAAAAGAAGAATGAGCAAAAGTTACAAATTTTCCTCTTTATGTCAGAATGTGCTTGTGTCTTTACAGTTAGGACTGCGCAAAATCTTGATTGAAGGCGCATTTGACTCTTATAACATATGTCATCAACTTTACGTACAGTGCCCGAGGGCATGTAGCAACATGTGAGAGTGCTGTTCAAATCAGAAAAATCTTTTACCTATGGCCGCAGGAAACTGACATTGATGCTCCTCAGAATTGATTTAAATATCAATCAACGTTATTAGAATATGAATGCTTTGGGATGAGCTCAACTTTTTTTTTTACAACATTTTTCATTCCGTGTATAACCCTACCGCAGTTATTACGAATTCGAGTGGCTTCGTCTTGCCTCGCCCGGACCACTTTGTGGGCCCCAGTTTCCTAAAAAGAAGTTCGATCACGAATAGAATTACTAATCGAAGTTTTGTCCTCTATCTTTAAATCACAAATAAAAATCAATTGTAAAATTCACTTTTTTTAAGTTTAATTAGATTAAAATCTTAATTTCAATAACAAGACTTACTCTTTTTCCCGACTCGGGTGTTATATAAAATGTATCTTCACCATCATCTATGAGCCCTCTGTCGAAAGAAATTATAAGATGTTTTCTTCATCTACTGTTATACCTGAGTATGACTCATGGTAATTCGAAGCTAGCCGAGAATATCCACGTGTGTAAATTTGTTCCTTTACTCTGATTTTACTTTGAGTTAGTGGTCTGAATATGATAGTAAAAATCGTGTGGTTGGATTGTGCGGGTGAGGGCTTAACATAATAGTTCTGTCCGCAGTTTTAATATGATCCGAGGATTAAAAAATCTTATTTTCTCTCCGGCCCTAATTAGGAAAATGTTTGTGAAACATCCGCTACTTTATCCAACTCTCCAAACCAAAGAAGTGCAAACTTTGATCAAAACTTCTTTATGTCTCACAAGGAAAATAATTTCTACTTTCTTACGGAAAAAAAAAACTATTTTTCCGTTATCCTTCATGTTCAGCTACTTGCGTGTTCTTTCAATGCAAGAACTTCTTGAGACTTTTCTCGTGCACTTTGACAACCTATACGTAAGCCATCATCACAAGCGATTGAATCTATTGTGATAAACTGTCATCGACAACAGTCCTTGAAAGACCACCCTCCTATGGGCGATCGTACTTTCCCATTGTTTTACTGGTTTGTCTTTACTCTTGAGTGACTCACACAGCAACCCAAGCTAGTTTTTCGAGGCATCGCTCCCAGATTTTCATTCATGAATGTAACTTTAATTAAAGTAATTGATGACATCTTCTCGAACCTTAAAAGCAAATATCTATAAATAGTAAAAATACCTCAGTCCTGAGCAAGTATTTAGTACAACGGTGGAATCTTTCGAGCCCCGGATGGACCCTTGATAGTGGCAATGATCAGAATCCCCCTGAAAAGATCGGAAAAAGAAGAAAAAAGACACTGAGGGAAAAAAATATCAATGAGCATAGTACCTAACAACTTAAACGTGGACGGAAAATAGGTCCTGGTGTCCATGATAGATTGCGTTTGCGGTTCTCTTGTGATAAACAGCTCTCTATTCTTGAAAGAACAGCGTGACGATCTTTTTGGAAAGATAGTTGCAAACTGTTTAAACTTTAAACCCTCTTGCACTTCGTAGGGATGCCAGTTTGATTAGTTAGTATTGCTAAAGTAATCTCTCTTTACCTGGCAATGCAAAAGAGATGCTTGTGGCATGTTTGTAATGACAGATGATATTAAGACTTTTAAAACAATTTCTCAGCAAATCACCTCTTGAATCACTTCTGAACCATCGCTAGCAAACGTGCGAACGGCAAATGATGGAGAAATAAGTTCTCTGTGGGATAATTAAAGCAAAAAAAAGTAATAGGGAAATCCTTTTTCATAAACAAACTGATAAATTAACAATCATAATAACAATAACATAATAATAAGACATTACAGATTTACCATATTAAAAGATACTTGAAACAAACAGTCCAAGAAATTGTACAAATGAAGAGCCTGGAAGCTGAATAACCAGCAAGATTTGGAGTCAGCCTCTAGTTGAGTTCACATGCTTGAATGTGACATTTGAGAGAGAGTACAGAACCATACTTAAAAAAAACAATAATTGTAATAATAACTATTTGGAAGGAAAGATAGATACTGAGACAAATATTTTGAACATTTGAAGACATCGAATAGAGTTTCGCTTTTTTGAGAAATTAAAGACGTTTAGATTTTTTTAAAGTTATCTGGCATTTTTTTTCCCAGAGATAAATAAACTTTTTGTATGTTTACTTAAGCTTCTTTAATTTTTCTTCTTTTGAATCGTTAATATTTGTTTGCCAAAAGTGTAACCTAATAAAACTGCAGTAGAGTTTGATTTTTTTCGGAAATTGTCTCTGTCTCACAATATGCTGGACGTTCAAACAAAGAGAAGTTGAGAAGACGTTGGCTTTTTCTTTTGGGTTTGGGCGTAAAATTTGTTTTTGTGCGCATTTGTGACCATACTTGTAATTTACAGAAAATAATCAAAATTCTTATTCAACGCCCAGTTGTTTGAAAGTCGATGAGCGCTAACCCAGTATTAAATTCAAATCCAGGTTTCTGTATTTCTTTTTTTATATGTCTTTTTGGGATAAATTTCTCTCTTCTTTTTGGAGCATCCAATAATCAAATTTTGGACAAAGAGAATAACACCGAATTTTCTCTTATAGCTTTCAGATCTCAAACCAGATTTCACACTAACCCTGGGTTATCTTAACCCAGCTTTGAACAAACCGGCCCTGGGCTTTTGTGAGCTTAGAGAACTGAAGAAAAGCACTGGATGAAACAGAGACACCTAAATCATTATCAGGCTTTAGCAGCAGTTATATGATGAAATGGAACATACTTATTTCTCTTCACATCTAGGGTCAAGTCCTTGTCAAAGGCAGTCAACCGGTAAGAGGCATCATCCACGTGGCCTCCCTAAAATAATGTAGCATCGTCATCCGGTGTCCACCCCACAAGTGATTTAACAGTTGATCATCTTGGTCGTCGAGGATAGTACATAAATACGAAGAGTGCTTCCGTAGTAAATAACTGAGTTCCTAATTTACGAAGAACGCACGAAGGACTTAAAAGCAATAGGTAGTTCCGCTCGGCCAGAATCTTATGAACTCTCTGATTGGTCAATTGTTTTTGTTCGCATCAATTATAAACAACATGTTATGAAATAAACTCCGATCAAACAGAACTAGAAATCCTGAGTTCCTGAATTTTGCTTGGCCATGTAATTGGCAGAAAATTTTTTGAACAATATCGTTTCCATGTATCTTAAATGTTTGGCAGGAGCAGTTTTTCTATTCTTTTATTCGTTAAACTAGGTATCATCAGATCTGAACGCGTTTGCTTTCCACCCTTCTCGCAGAGAATTAAAAAAGTATTATTAAAATAACGTTCAAATGACTGTCAAAGGATTTATCTTCAAAAACCTTTTCAGATGTTGATAAATCCCTTTTTTCCAGCCTGCCATCAACGCGTTCCGGGAAAGTGATGTCATATTCTCTTGGATAAGCCCCGTCTGCAATTACAAACTGTCTTTTGTTAACCTTTTCACTGCCGAGCGATAAATATCAACTCTTTGCAGTATCTGCCATCATACATTTCCTATAGGTTTGTCCATGAGAGATTATGGTCAAACCATTGAAACAGTGTTTGTTTCTTCTCACCACCTTTCTGCTTGCATATATTTGATAATTCAAAGGAAAATTAGCACTTGGTCGTTCTTAGGAGTGAAAGAGCAAGAAAATTTTAAAAGTCAAGTCAAGTTTGAAGCATAAGAAAACCACAAAACGTTATGATAGCATCAGTATATCATTGTCAAATCATAATAATTATAAAGATGGAAAAAAAGAAATGACAATATATGGAAGAAGACTGCCAGAGACCAATAGTTTCATGCAGTTTATTTAAAACGATTAGTGATGTTGTGGCCAATAATAAAAAATATGGTTTCTTGCCCAGGGTTAGTACATCCGCATGTTAGTAGGACAAACAAAAATTTGGAAAGATTTTCATAAAGCCATATACTTTTCTAAAACAAAAAAGTCGTAGTTCCAAACTCAGTTCATTGTTTTAGCCATTGTTTTTTTAATTAAAGAACTATAACCAGAATGGAGTATGAGGTTGGGCGGAAATCTTGTCCAAAATTTTTGTTCGAATAGAGTCTGTTTTGGGGTTAAGCTTCGATTTTTATCCGAAAAGTAAAAGTATTTGTTTGAGTCACCATCATGGGTGTTTAATTAACCGAACACATTTCTTATTTTGCATAAAACTATTTCACCTTGGCTCTCTTTTGTTACCTAAATTTTTGTTTGTTTGTTTTTTTTTTAATTTGTGATAATTTTTTCGTTTGACATGCTTGCAAATGACATCTTGATACTATCGAAACGCGTAACTATATGTAAACTGCTTACAAAGTCAAAACAACTGCAAAATATAATTAAATCAAAAGATTTTTAAATGACTGTGAATATTTGAAAATCATATGCGTGAACTGCGAAAAGCGATCTTTGCAGTAATGAACACTACTTAAACAGTAGTGAAGATAAATATGTTAGTTCTAAAATCAACCCGTCGAGTGATGAATAAACGACTGTGAATACATGTCTAATAAAAACCTAGCAAAGACAGATTTATTTCTCAGCGTGTCGGCTTCATTAACATTATCGCTATTATCTAGGGTAAATTTAAAAACAACAAGCGACTATTAAATAAGATAAAGAAGTTTAAATATCCCCGTAGAAGACGTAAATAGGAGACATAAAGTTGGCACTAGCAGAGGTCTGTTTCAATTTTGCCCATGAATAGCGCATGCCTTACAAGGAAGAGAAATTTTTCTTGGTTTTTAAAGCTAAGGAAATTGATCTAAAGGGCGAAAATGTGTTTGATCATCATGTGTAAAAAATATCAAGGGGGCAAGTTTCTGAAAAAACTGTGATACTGCGTTGGTGGAGAATATCACAAGAAAATTTTGTGTAACGCTCGAAACTTCAGCTTTGAAATTCTTTACGATGGCCAACTCAAATTATCAACCTAGTTGATAAAACCAAATTTATTTTGTTCAAAATGTCAGTTAATTACATGCCTACCTGTAAACTGGAGGCTTGTGTAGAGCAAGAGCAACCATAAAGTGCAGATGATAAACGAATCGAGCTCTTTCACCAGCAGCATCCTCCCTTATCTAACGTTAAATCTACGTTTCAACAAAGTAAATACGCTTTATTAAGTTTGTAACTAAATGGTACAGCTAATGAAAAGCTCGAATAACTTATTATTATTTATTACTTATCATAAGATTTCATTTCCAACTAAGATAATAGGTTTTCGCCAAGCTATTGTCGACTTATTGTCGACTTTGTCACCATTGTATATGTTTAATTATTCATTTTCAAGATGCTTAAAGTGGACTTTTACTGAGGCCTTTATTAAAAAAAAAAGCATATTCGGCAATGAAATCCTCAACTATTCCATGAAAACTTTGTTTGAGACTCAACTAAACTATAAGAGTTGATAAAAAGGTTTATAACCAGGCAACGAAGAGACCCCAAACCTTCGATTCATTACTTATAATAGCAGTATGAGTAAAAAGGCCATTCACTGGACAGTTATAAAGACGTGATTACATTGTTTTTTCTTTAATTGCGTTGAGTGACATTAAATAAAGGCCTTCACATCTGGAATCTTGCATTAAAATTGAATAGCAAAAAGAAATTGCTGACATGAAGACGTCACGAAAGAAAAATTAACATTAGTCACCCGGTAATTTTCAGAGGGTGCCAGGTTCCCAATCGTATACAGTCTTACTCTTCGTGTCACTGTTTCTCTGACCGCCATCAAGGGATAGTTATCACCAGATTAGAAAATTAATGCACTTTGATAGAAAGTAGAAAATGCAGACGAATTAAACAACAGGGTCTTTGCTCTATTATTAGCTCTATTATTAGCATTTAAAAATTTTATGACCTTATTGAACGTTAATTCTACATTTAAATAAAATAGCGTTAAATCTACATTTCAACAAAATAAATACGCTTCATTAGGTCGGTAACTAAATAGTACAACCATTGAGAAGCCCGTATAACTTTTTAAAGCCGTCATTTCCAACGAAGATAATAGGTTTTCGCCAAGCTATTGTCGACTTATTGTCGACTTTGTCACCATTGTATATGTTTAATTATTCATATTCAAGATGCTTAAAGTGGACTTTTACTGAGGCCTTATTAAAAAAAAGCATCTTCGGCGATGAAATCCTCAGCTATTTCATGAAAACTTTGTTTGAGACTCAACTAAACTATAAGAGTTGATAAAAAGGTTTATAACCAGGCAACGAAGAGACCCCAAACCTTCGATTCATTACTTATAATAGCAGTAGGAGTAAAAAGGCCATTCACTGGACAGTTATAAAGACGTGATTACAAACAAAGGTGCTGGTGGTAACGCCGATTAGTGGTGATAATTTTAGAATTATCCCACCCAATTGTATGGTTAGTTAGGCATGTATGCTCCGATAAAGCTGAATTTTCCCTTTTGCAAAGGAAAACCGCGTTTTGGTGCTATTTTAACCGTGTACCAAACTGACGCTTGGTCTGTCCGATGTATTCGTTGTCACAGTCATTGCAAGGAATAGAATAAATGGCGTCGGTTCGTTGTTCTTTCGCGACAGGATCCTTAGGTTTGGCGAAAATATGCCCCAAAGTCTGAAAAAGTTTTTGAGTAACTTTAACGTTGTGGCTATTCAAAATTCTCTTGATGGGTTCCGTAATACCCTGTAGGTAAGTAATAACAGCAAAAACAGTCGCTGGTTCCCTTTCATCAAGAGCGTTACTATTTGTAACTGATTTTTGGCAGTTACGGAGAAAAGGTTTTGTATAGCCATTTGCCTTTAGGACATTGGAAACATATATCCTCTCCTCAGCCTTCGAATCGAGTGAGGATAGTAGACAGTCAGCCCTCCTAAGTAAAGTTTTGGCTACAGACTTTTTATGGCAAATAGGGTGGTGAGAATCGCAGGCGAGGTATTTGTCGGTGTGGGTAGGTTTACGGTAGACACTTGTCTCTAAATTACCCTGAACCCCTCTGGACACATTTAAATCAAGAAAGGGCAAATGTCTATCCTTTTCACGCTCAAGAGTGAATTGGATCGACGGCTCTACTGAATTCAAATGCGACAAGAGGCGCTACGCTTCATTTCCGGATACAGCAGAAATAACATCATCGACAGATCGTTTCCAGAAAAAGGGTTTAACCGGTGAAGGGGCTAAGGCCCTTTGTTCCACGTCTTCCATTACCATGTTAGCAATGACAGCAAAGACGGGCGAACCCATCGCTATACCAAAAACTTGTTGATAGTAGGTGCCGTTATATGTAAATTGCGTGGTTTTGAGGCAAAAAGACAGTAGTTGAATAATATCCTCCACAGGCAAAGAAGTTCTTTGTCCCAGGGAAGCATCTTCTCTGAGTCTCTCCTCCGCAACCTTAACGGCAAGATCAACTGGGATTTTAGTGAAAAGCGAAACAACGTCGAAAGATACTAATTCTCGCAAGATAACCAGAAATTGCATAAGTCGGAGAATTAACAAAAGAAACAATGGGTCTCAAAGGAATTCCGGTTTATGAATTTTAGGTAGCCATAAAAACGTGGACATAAGCCGTCACTACTGTATAACATTTTGTACGTAGAGTCACCAATTTTACCACCTTTTTTCAAATCAAGCAACATTTTGTTTAACTTTCTTTGAGTTTTACTGGTAGGATCAGAGTTTAAGACAGTATACGTACTCTTTCATTAAGCAGAGACAAAGCTTTGTCGTGATATTGCTGTTTGTCCATAACCACAACACAGTTACCCTTGTCAGCAGATAATACGAGCCTGTCCGGATCCTTTTTGAGAGCTATAAGCGCATTGAAAACATCCTTTTGAATGTTTTTGGGAAGAGGTTTAGCTACCTGAGTATGTTAGTTACTTCTGCTCTTACGAAATGCCTACGATCGTCATTGAGTTGAGAGATACTCTCCTCAACAGCGGCGACAATTTCGGCAGTCGGTATTTTGCGAGGGGCAATAGCAAACTTCAGACCCTTCTCTAAACCACTCCATTTCAGCGTGGATAACTCCTTGGAGGAAAAGTTCATGACCCATTTATCTTTCAGAGATGAGCCTGAATTAACAGGAGACCTCTTACTGAGCAAGTGACGGAGTTTTCTGTCGTGTTTCTCTCTCTGTTTGGTAAACGTCTGCAGTTCTTTCGAACTGCAGAACTGCTCGACCCAGGAAGTTCGGAGTTGTTAATCAAAGCAGAGAGTTCACAAAAATATTTCACAATATTGGCTGCGTAGAATGTCTTTGCAAAGTAAATTGAATGGCTCCTCGGAAGGAAAAGTTTCATTTGAAAAATAGACCTGCTTTTTCTCCCTGCAGAACTCTTAGAACAATAATAAAATGTTTTTTTTTTCTGCAAACTGATAGAGGACTTCCCAGGGTTTCTCTTAAATTTCTAATTGTTTAACCCCATCGCCGAGTTCGTTGAAGAAAACTTGAAATAGCGAATGGGCAAGGATTGGGAGTGAACGCGATGGTTCACAAAAAAAGAGTTTGATAGGTGGCAGATATGGATGCATCCTTCCGAGGCATATGTTTAAGGTACATGTGCAATGGCAGTGTGATAGCATTATTTGTCACTCTCAATAAATATTCACAATGCAAAATTTGTAACTTGAGTCTTTATTATCCATCATCTAGATTGTAACATATCGCTATGCTAATACACCTTTTTTTACCAATAAGCGAATAAGTTCTTCTCCCCACTGGAACTCAGGCCGATGGTGCACCTACAAGAGCGACGAAAATCATCACTATTTAAAATTTTCCGAATGTGGAATACACTCTGGGAGTCAAATTGAGTTTGCTTGTCTATCATTCGCACACTGTCTAAAAATCTTCGAACTATTCTTTCCGTCAGTGTCTTACCAAGTTTAAAGAAGTTGAGTTTCAACCTTTCCTCGTCACATCCTGGCCAGTAATTCAAGTGCACTCCCTCCCCAGGCCATCCACCGTTTGGGTGAACGCAAAAATTGTGCTTCAAATTCTTCAGGTTATAATGAGCCGCCAACCTGAAATGATTAAAAAAAATAAATGATAGACGCGAATAAAACCAATGGTCCCCACGAAAAAAAAACATGCTTTTGCGACGTCATTAGGCCATTTGGGCACCAGTCATTGTGTATCGCCAGGGCGGGAGGGGGGGGGGTGGCGGATTTTTTTTTCGGGGGATCCCCTGGTTTTGAGGGGGAAAAGAGGGGGATCAGTCGTCGCCAACAATGGGGAAGGGAAGGAAGGGGGAGGGAGGGTCATAAAGAATATTACAGAGCCATAGAGGAGATATGGTAAATTTTATAAATTTTAGCCCCCTTCCCCAGGGGAATTAGTCATGACCGGTACCTAAAAGAAAGGTTTTTCGAAGAGAAACATGCAACGTCCCTAATACAAGCTGTTTAACAAATGCCTCAGCGTGTTAATAAATGGTTCGAACACACGAAATTTGTACACAGTAAAGAAGTACCACGAGAGAAAAAGTAGGAAAGGGATGAATCCAGCATGCATGATATTTGAAAATATGAGGCTGACATAAGTGGACATTATGCTGCAGCCTGCACATCATAATTTGATTACATACCTGATATGCTTAGAAATACTCAGATCACATTTATCCTTCAGCATGAGTTTTTTGTAGTAAGTAGGGTTATTGTCTACAAAAATAAAAAACGAAAACAAACTTAATGTCTCAAAAAAGGGATTGTTCATGCCTAAGTTTTTTGTAACAAGCAGGCTTATTGTCCAAAAAAGAGACAAAAAAGAAAAAACCCAAATTAAGACAAAAACAGTCAAACAAAGTTGTTGAAAGAAAAGGTGGATTGTTCAAGACTTAACTAAAAAGATTGGGCCAAACTGCTCAATTTTCAGAGAAGCGCAAATTAAGACCAGCGGAATATTTGGAACCGTTGAAATTGATAAATCTCCTGTTCTTCCCCTCTTCCAGGTACTTCACATTGAAATGGAAAGAACTGAAATAGTTCCACAGAATCATAGTTGTTAACAGAGAAAGTTAGCTAAAAGTGTCACAGAATTATTTCTTCGTTTTCTTTTTTTCTTCACGAGAAAACAAGAATAATAAAAATTCAGTTATAATACCATCACAACAAGGAAAACCAACAAAGACTACTACAAAAACAAATCACGGGAAAACAAGAAAAAAAACTTAACGATAAAGTAATTAATTACCCTGTGGACAGACTACTTTCTTGCTGCATTTGTGATGAATAACGCCATCTTGGTCAAGAACAAAAATCTGATCGGTCACATTACAAGCTGTGCCTTCCCTTTTCGTAAAGATAAGATAACTCCCATCAGGAGGAGAACAACCTCCTTCGTTTGGGGCCACACAGAAGTCACCGTAGCTTCGTATTCCACTTTCTGAAAAAAGAAAATTACTAATTACAATAATAATTAAAATAATGATACCTCTTTCAGTCCTTAAATTATGTTGAGGATTCGTTTACCGCTTTTTCGAGAAACGATGTCGGAAAAAAGGACAAAAGTGCATGTAACAATGTCGAAAGGTACTCTGCGTATCCAGTAATCAATGAATTTTTTTAAAATTTAATCAAACCCGTAATGGCTCGTCCTTACGAAGACATTTTCTCAGGTTTCACAGGAATCCTGAAGTCATGGAAGCGGGACAATAAAACAACCCTCAACAACTTTTGAAGTCGTCACTTGCACTTTTATACTTTTTCTTTTACCAACAGCCTTTCTCAAAATAGCTGTACAGATAATATACGTACAGACGATATTTACATATTTAGGTTGTTTAAACAAGCCCCCATTTAAAAAATATTTCTGCTGAAATGGGCCAGCCTGTTTGCAATAACGTATTTAAAAAGTGAACAATTAACCAATCAACCACACTTTCTATCGGTTTACCGGCTAATAAACCACGCCACAAGGCGTAAACTTTTCAACCTTTCCCTTGCTCAGTAGGTGGTAGTTTTAGCTGAGACATATTTGATCACGTCATGCATTAAGACCAATCGCGTGCGAGCAAAAATACTTAATGAATTGTAAAGGTTTATACCACAGTGCAATCAATGAACATTCCCAGCGACTAAATAAAGTAAATTTCCTGGTCATATTATAAAAAACCGCCTACCAGGGCAATAAAAGCAGTTCCCTTCGTCTTGTGTAGGAATGCTTGGATCGCACTGTTTTCCACCACAACGTCGCCTGGGGTTTGTACATGTTCTGTACCTTCGATGCTTACCAGGTTCGCATAATTTGTCACATCTCCCCCATTCACCCCACTCAGTTAGTCCGCCATCCACTGAATTCCAAAACAAATTAAAAAAATACAACGGGTAAAAAGAAATTATTTTTCACACAAAAACCAAAGATATAGCTATTTGAACAAAACGCCTATCTTAGGGATTAATATTTCAGTCATAATTGATGAATTATTGAAAAAGATCAAAAAACGAGCCTTATATCCCTAAAATCGGACCGGAGCGTCCATATGAAAAATTTTCTTGACTGAATAAGCTGTCGGACGCCAAAAATGATATCTACGAACCTGGGTAAATCCACCCTCGAAAAAACAAAACTCGACTGTTAAAAAGGAGACAGTGCTGAAGGCGATAGTATAAAACGAAACGGCCGAGTTTATCGAGCTTCTAAGGAGGGGTCTTTACTGTATCTACGGTAATACCTGGTTTTCTATCCTCATCACAGTCATCCTCATTTAGCCAGTACCAGATAACCCCAGGATTTCTCATCCCCCCAGCCCAAATCCAATCAGACGGAAACCGATCGGGGCCCCCCCAAATGATCGAACCCGACGGGTAGTAGGTGGGGCTGTCGGATGTGGTCAGCAGAGCCATGTGGTGAGTTCCTTTGGCGTCAAACCACGGCATTCTCTTGTTTAATGAATTCCACCAAGAATACTCCCAATTGTCAAACTTCCTCGTTAGGTTGACGTGGGTTTGCGAAGAATCCGATGCCATGAAGCTTTGATAAACAAATGAAATATGAAAAACACAGTGTGTGAATAAATTAGGGTACGTAAATACCTCCGATTTTGGAAAAAATACAAGGTATTACAAATTTTCTTTGAATATGAGTATTCATTCCAATACAATCCTACCACTGTTTTCCCACCTGTAGGACTTAGGAGCTTCAAAAATCCCTCCCCAGTGACGTCTAGAATGAGCATCCATCATGTACTGGAATGTGCCATTGTTGTTCAGGCTTTTAATACTGTCTGCTAAATCTAAGATGGAGTAATCTCGATTCAGTCCTGGATAAAGGGCATTTCTAGAAATGAAAGGAGAGATATCAACAAAACGCAATCGGTTTTCTTACTTAGCATATACCTTTCTTTTCTAACGGTGTAACGCTTGCGCTTACTTAGATAAATTTTCAAACGCATCTACTATGTATATCGAGACTAGGAGTGGCAAGAAGACGCTGCTATCAATATTAAAACGAAAGGTATTAAAAATTTTTAAGAAATTATTTGGCCAAATCCTGCCATATTATTATATTACGGGACTAGTGGAAGACATTTGCCTTACCGCGGCTTCCGCTTACCATAGGGTGAATAATTGTTTCAGTACAGTATAAAGGAAAAGATCCCCCAAAATTAGTTTATTTCTGTTGATACATCAAAAATAGTCGGATTTTAAACTCTTTAAGCGCCATTTTGTCTCTTCTCTGCAAGAGGTTAATAGTACTTGCCAGTCCGAAATAGCCAACTAATGAGCGCGAAAAGCTTTATTATTATTGTTTTTATTGTTATCATTATCGTCATTTCATCTTCTCTTGCGATCTAAGAGCATTTCCACTTTCCCTTTAACAACCACCAACGCATTACAAGGAACACGTCACTTTGGGCCTCAGCTTCGTATCTGATTAGTCTAAAGAACGCAAGTATAATATGCAATTACCTGTGTGGGACCTGTGCCCGAGTCCAATTGTTGTGAGCACTCGTCACTATAAGAGTGAAACCTCCTTTAGCAGTTGTCATATCGCAGTAGACCGGGAGGTACTGGGTATCTCTGACTTTCATCAGTTGGAAACTATCCTCGCCATACTTGTTACCAGCTCTCATTCCGTGTAATTTCAAATCGTTGCAAGATAACCTGTCCACAAACAAATGACTCTCAATTATTGCAATAGACGATGAACACGATAAACATCTGAGATTTTGGTAACTTTGAGATGTTATAAAGAAACGCTTTCACGAATTTATCCTGGCCTTTAAGCTGGAAACATAATTCCCCTGTCTAAAACGGTATTTTTTTTTTTGGTTTTTTCGTAACTAGAGGTCGCAGAAAAACTTTAAAACATAAAGCTTGAATTTGAACATCTTTCCTATTATCACTGTATTTGATCGCGACGAAAAGTCGAATTTTATTCAGGCAAGCATAGTTGCTATGGATAATCTCCAAGAAAAGTGTAAATACAGCCTTAAGTGTACAACTGACAGGAAAAAATATGTATATAAATACATACATATATTTCAGATCGTAGTCTGCACTGATTACGTATACACATAACATAAATTCACCTCGCTCCTTCTCTCATCCAGTATCTCACAACACTCGGGTTTGGCTTCTCTTGCTCCAGATACGAGGCGGAGCTGGCGCCACTGTTATACACCAAGGACCCTGACGGTTCATCCACAGTTGACGCACTGCTTAATAACAGATCTTTAGATAATCCCAGTCTAGGCATGCGCTTTCCCAAGTTGCTGTTCTCGTCCCACGAATCGAACTTCTTTACGATTTTTACTTTGGTTTGTTTGTCGCACGTAGATAGGAATGTATAGTCACGTGGCGCTTCCCAGATCCCTCCCCAACGGGTTTTGCCGTCTGCCTCAATTCGGTATTGAAAGAATTCCTGCTTGAAGACGAAGTTGAAGAAACACAACGAGTTATGGAAGATGGAATCGAAAATATTGCCACTCCATGATCTCATGATATGATGGGGAAACTAGCTTAGTGGTGACTGGCAAGAGTTTTGAATCTCATTGGTTGAGATGGCGGCACAAGGTTAACAGGTAAATCACTAGTTACAGTGAAAGAAAACCGTAAGCAATTCCGAGTTACTTTAGACACTTAGTGGAGAATTGTGGGACAAAGCACTTAGGGTGATTTTTTTATGGGCATCAATTCATATACTTTTCTACAAATTTACCAAGTATTGACTTTAAATCACCCCTCAGTCGCTCAGACATCTAACGACTTACCTGAGCTTTGTCAGAGTCCTTTATGGCGTCTGCAAGCCCCAGTATGGAATAGTCATCTTGTAGAGAAGGTTTGTCTGAGTTTCTTTTTTTCATGTTGTCTTTATTCCACCCACTGTGGGTCTTGCTTGTCACAAGTAGTGTCCAGGGTCCTCCTTCGGTCGTGAAATCACAATACGTTTTAACTTTTTGCTGTCCAGGAGGTTTAATTGCGAAAACTCCATCTGAAAAAAAAAAAACATTTCAATGCAGCTGCAGTTAACTCTTCATGTGAAATTTAAATGAGGTGTAATCAGTTTGACCAAATATATATTAAGACACAAGAACAAGGGAGTTAGTAGGAAGGTAATTTTAAAATTCTTTATTTGTATTTATTTGAATGATATTCACATACGTACATGTAAAAACCAGCCAGAACGGAAACAACTGTCAAAACGAATTAGATCTAAAAATATTTAAAACGGTCTCCAATATGCGAAAATACGAGTAACGCCGTTAGTTCTAATTTGTGTTTTATTGCTTGAGGAGTTGGCAGGATTTGTTTCGAACAATACCGATCGTAGTGAAGAAAACAAAAGCAATACAATCTCGAAAGTATTGAACGAAATTTCAATTACTGGATTTCCCGGTAATTCGTATCAAGACTTACCTGAGACAGGGTTAGTCAGCAATCCTCTGAAGAACACTTCTTTACAGGAGCCAGGCATATTAAAAAGTCCCTCTCTCATCCAGTACCAGATATATGATGGCTGACTCTCCATAAGGTGACCAGCAATCCAAGGTGCAGGGTGGTATTCCTTAGCGTCTCCTTGAAAAATCAATCAAGTTAAAGCATGAAGTTCAACCACGAAAGTCTTGTTTTGATCCAGTAGTAAGACATTCCCTACCTTTGACCCCTTTTCAATCCAAAAATGTAATGTTTCGATTCTAGGTAATGACCCGAAGGACAATATGACAAACTTTGGTTAGGGTTTGATAGCAAGAAATTGAGACTGGGGAAGATATTTCACTAACTCTATTCTTTTCGAAAAATTGTGAAAAAGGAATTAAGGTTGATGAATTATGGAACCATTGAAATCATAAATCAAACGCTTGAAGAAAATAAATCTCATGCAAAAGGAAAGCTGTATCGTTACAGAAAGCTCTTTTTCACCAAGTTTTCCACGTCATTTCCGTGACTATCTCAAAAATGGGGTTTGCCAAAAAGAAATAAACAACAACAACAAACAATGATCTTGTTTAATTGTACAGAGGAGAGTTATCGCTTGTGTAGTATAGATTGAAGGTTATTTACCTGTTATTGTTCCCCACCAGCTGCGATAGGCATGATGGGATGTAGTTAACCTGGCATCAGAAATCCATGGCATTCTTTGTTCAATCCCACTGTCTGAATATTCCCAATTGTCAAACTTCTTAACCAGCTGAATATTCGTCTGTTTGTTGTTGTCAGCTGTGAACGTAAAACCTCTGGGCGCCTCCCAGATACCTCCCCAGCGATCTTCAAAAATAAAGAGATAAAGGTGAGAGAAATATGCGCTCATTAAAACTAACGTTTTATTTTCGGCACAAGTGTTCAAAGTCTTCTCTTCAGGACAATTGATGTATGGCCTTTCTCTCTGTGCGACATAAAAGCTAAGTACCCTTATAAGCCTCGGCGCGTAAAGGGAAAGAGGGGTTGCTGGAAAGACTCTCGAAGAAAATGTTATACATTGTTAATGATGGAAGTTTTGGGAATGAGCATCGTTCGTGATGATGGCCAAGATGACCATGTTTCTACATGTGTTGCTTAATTCTACAAATAAATAAATGAGTAGGAGTGAGATTCTATGCGAGCATCGCATACTTTCTCGTACATTCTATTGCTAATTTTTTTTCGAAATGGCTAATTAGAATGGCGATCACTTTGTAGACAGCATGACTGCTGACCCTCATTGTGGATTATATTTTTTTACTATGGCCTCCTAAGCTCACTCTGCATCCACCCTATCCTGTCCTGTATGACGGAAATTTAGGTACCCTGAATACATTGAATTACCTTGGCTTTGAGCCTCTAATCGATACTCAAACGTAGAACCTGCCACGTTAATATTATCCTTAATACTGTCTGCATACTGCAGAATGGAGTGATCATCAGTCAACTTTGGAGAGTTCGCATTTCGCAATTTAACATTCTGTGCCGTCCAGGTGTTAGTATGACTGGTAACCAATAGTGTCCATCCTCCACCATCACGCGACATATCACAGTACGCCATGATTGGCTGAGAGCCCGTGGGGTAAATCTTGTAGACACCATCAGGATAGTAATGATTCTGTTCATCCCCCACTTGACGCAAGTGATGGCATGAAATCACCACTGGATAAGAAAAAATAAAATTTAACATTGAGCAAAATGATGTTACTAGAAGAGTTTTTTTCCATACATCGCCCTAAGAGTTAATACAAGGAGAGAAGTACAATAATATTGGAGGTAATGTAACTGCCACCAGTGAAATAGCTCAATGCAAGACTCCTTTTCAAGAGAAATGTTCTCCTATGTGTTCTAGTGTTGTTTTCTACTCTAATAATTAAGACACATTTACCAAATTTGAAAAGGCAAAAGAAAAAACGTTCGATAAAATCAGCCTTTTAATAATCTAAAAGATATCCTCCAGTAAGCGAAGAATACCTAATAAGTCGTTCAGGAGATCGACTGTTCTGTCTGTCTTAAAAAAAAGGAGAGGGCAATTCTCCTAATAAAAACCTCCCCTAGCCTTTCCCTTCTCCCATGAATTTAATGCTACTCCGACTTATGAAACATTTCTCTTGCAAAGGAAATGAAAAATTGAAAAAAGCCTTGCCGAGCCAAACTTGCGACCCATGTTTCAAGAACTAGTTATAAGCCTCACAGATCACTTGGTATTCTGTTTTCAGTTCATAAGTAAAAGAATAGGTCAAATTAAAGAAGGGAAACTAGAAAAAAATAAATAATAAATACTTTAAAATTTTTAACTCACCCGGACAGCTTTGTGTATTACAATCCTGTTTTTCATGTCGGTCTCCGGGGCAGTCAGCACCTCCATGTAGGGGGAACGGATTGTCACAGAACCGATGTCTTCTTCTCTTTCCACCATCACAACCCTTGTCACACACAGTCCATGACGACCACTCACCCCAGGCTCCATCTCGAGGTACCAGAGCTGGAATGGGTCAGTTTAATGATTATAATAATAAAAACAAATATAATCATAATAGTTATAATGATAATGATGAATTCTACGATTAAAGAAAATACTTCCTCTTTACAAAAATTCCATCAGCAACCTGTATCAAAGGCTTTTTTTCTAAACGCTGAAACCTAACTATAGATAATTGTCGTAAGAAAGCTCCCTTATTTTCCTGAATTCTACGAAAATGAAAAGACTTCCCCTTCACAAAAATACCATTAGCAACCTCCATTTTAGGGCTTTTTAAAAACGCTTAAACCTAACTGAGAATAAATTGTCGTGAAGTACCTCCCTTACTTTCCTGAATTCTCTAATTATCTCTTACCCGATGCGCAACCGTCTTTAGAATCAAATCCTCCCTCACAATGACACAACTTTTTGTTAGTGCAAACCTAAATAAAAGAATGATGAGTTAGATACAGTCTATCGAACAAAATGTTGTTTGGCCAAATGTTGGAATGCATAAATAATAAACAAAGACAGGGTTTTTGCATAGCATTGAGATTCAGCTCTATTGCCGCTTCTCCTTTTTGATTAAAATATCGACTACACGCACCTTCTTAATTTTTGGGGTTTCAGTTTTTTTGTTAAAAATTGTTTTGTTCTTTCTTTTTCTCGTTTGCTTCTTCGTTTATTTGTTTGTTTCTTTTTTGGCATCAACTGGGGATAGACATCTAAACTGCCTGATCTGAAGAGCCAGCAAAGCTTATCATATCAAGTTTATTTCTGACGAGGAAACCATATTAGTGCATAGTATCTCCTCTAACTTTATAAATAACTTAGTGGCACTTTAAATTAAGACACCAATATCATTAAATGAAAAAGCTTCTGGAAGAAAGGCGGTGTGGTGAAACGCGGATTTTGAATGCAAATGCATCGACAGAAGAAGTAAAAAAAAACCTTTGAGAGAGACATGTCACGATATTAGAGAATTACTTTCGAAAAATAAAGACTTCAATGAATGAATCGACAATTAGAGTAAACAATTACAACAACGGCAAATAGAACGAAAAGTAACAAGTATGCTGAAGGATTTTGAAGGTCAATTAAGGTGTCATGGATTTGAAAAATTAGCCTTAATTATTGACTTACTCCTCTTCCCCCACACTCCTTGTTATTTGCCACCGGACAATTGCCAATGTCGAGAGAATCAAATGACTGACACTTGTAATTTATACACATCTGTAACAAAATACAAAATTCAACAAAATTCTTTGTTACCTTAACTTGTAGAAAATCATAAAATAATCTTGAGAGGTATTTGCCTCATAAAAGTTGGAATTGTATACTACTGTAATTCTATTTTATAATTTGGAGTTTCAGGTATCAGTGTTGGCCTAAACGGCTTTGATAGATCACTGGCTTCAAGTAGAAGGAAAAAAATCGGTATTGTTTTTAAACTTAGAAGGAAACTCGTACTTTACGAAAGAACAGCCGAATGGACACTCTATAAAATTTTCTCTATTGTCTGCCAAACTTTTTACAATTTTGGCCTCTACATTATTGGTGTTGAATTTAAAATCGTTGATTGATGTTTTTTCTATCTCCTCGTTACCATTTTTCTCCACAATTTATTCCTATCACAAGAAGGAAATGCTCAGGGGCCATTCCTGGGATAGGAAGAGTAAATTTTTATTCACGGTACCTTATCATCTCCACATTTTGTCCCTTCTCTAACCATTCCCTCACCGAGGTCATCTATAGATTTTAAGGTTGCAGCACTGTGGGAAGAAAGAATACATTAGGCTGTCACACTGTCCAAGAGCCCACGCTTTTTTTCCAAGAATTTTTGTTTTGTGGCGATAAGTCTTACTCTTTTTACATAAATCATTTTTCATAGCAATCAGAACGTATACCTTTCAAATATTAAAGAGTGGGGTGAAAAGACTCTTAAATAGTTCTTATCTCCACGGCCTATCCCGTTTTCCTTAACATGAAGCGACTAGGAATATTCCTACTTCTTCGAGGCTGGAAAAATGGTTCATCGCCAGTTACCCCCAACCCCACCTCCCTACCCCACCTTTCTCGTTATTATCATAACCACCCATATCAACAGTATTTCCATCGGTTTTCTTATAAGTCAGTGGTACCGAAGGAGGGTGGATCTGGAGTTCAGCGAACGAACCACAACGGGCCATCTTGACTTAAAATACTAATTCTTTCGATAGATATATATTTCTTTCCCTTGATAATGTCCGTAGGCATGGTTTCCCTAGAAACACGTTTTTTAACTTCTCCTTGAATACTTTTCGAAGTATCCAAATTGATTGAATTAAGAAAAAAATAGAGAACACATTTGTACTTTTTCGCATGGGGTTTTGAACATACTTTAATACCTGCATTGTTTCCCATTATCTAAACTTATCTTGGTGTATGTCCATCCGTAGTCAACAACAGGTTTATCTCTGCTGTCTTCACATTGAAGCTGACCGCATAACACGTTACTAAGAAAAAAATTAAGGAAACTCATTAACGTTTGCACAATGAATATTTTCGGCAAATTACATATCAGTGGTCGCCACAAAAAGAAATTTTCAAATAAAGGAAAGGAGAGAGATATGAACATGTATGAATTAAGAAGTTTGAAATGTTTGCATACTGAAACACCTTAGGTATCCAGATACGTATAAAAGAAATCATAGCATTTAAGGCATAAGCTACGTCCTTCTATTTCTGGTTGGTTTACCAAAAATAGAATAATTATAAGGAAAGGCAAATTGCCCAAATAAAGTTCCAGGACTTCACCCTAGCAACATCTAGAGGGACAATGGAATAGAAATCCCGGAAGTATGGATACTGACGATCAAGACACACAATAGGTCAAAGGCCGTAAGACCGCGGACCACTAAAGGAACCTTTTGACGAAATGCGCTAGTATCAGCTGTGGAATTCCAACGAATAACAACTGAGAAGAACAGTTTATAAGGTAACGCGTACTAAATCGACTTTATCGCCTGAATAAGCAGTATGTAGTCGAAACGTCGCGGTCCATATACAAAGTGACTACGTTGTGAGATGAAAGATTGTACTTCGTTTTAAAACTCCCTGAAAAAGATATATTTTAAGTCCACTGGGTGATTATTTTTCCAAACTTGCATTGTGGGCTTGTACCTTGCAGCGCATGATGCATTTGTAACTGGATCACATGTGCCAAATCCAGCAGCTTCAGTGTTTAGTTTGTCATAACATCCTTGGTCGGCATTATTGGCGGCTAAAAAATTAATTGATTTGGGTTACAAGTAAAGTATTAGAAGCTCAGGTAAATGTCTCTGTCATGACCTTAGATACAGCAACTTGAGGTGGCTGAGTATCTATAACTTAAAGATACAACTGTTTAGAGGATAATCGCTTTCAGTTCTTGACTGGACGCAGTTTAATTGTAAAGGCATTAAGTCATGTCTAAATAATAAGAACGTTTATTCAAACTTACTTGCTCCCCACAAGTCTTTGCACTGAGTTTCGTGAATTTCGCTGCATTTTCCTTGGTAGCAATGCGACTGAAACGACAATAGTTGTGTAAGTCAGTGGATTTAGAGAAATTTTCCTGACAGGTGCACATGTTCGCTATCTTTTATCGCGAATAAACGAATCAAAATGTTCACTTTTCCCTTCTCTTTTGTTTCATACCAAGTCTTCGAACCAAACAAGCGAATATTCTCCTTACTGAATCGGTTTTAAAACAAGGAAAAATGTCAATAAGAACCTAACGGTGTATAGTCACATTTAAAATCACCGTTTCAAATATTTCCCTTACATTGGAATGTTGTTTGTCTCCACTCTCTGAATAACCAGTCCACCGCTGACCATCATTGCTGAGGAACAAGTAGAAGCCAGTCACCCAGTCGTACCAGTTTCCACGTCCCTGTATCAAAATTTTGCTCACCGTTCGTACCTACAAAAAGAAAAATCGGCCAAAAGTTAAAACGGAGAGTCGACTTCTCATGATTCAGAAACACTTACTACAGGACATGTCATCACTAACTCGTTTTTGAACTTCAACTGTACGCAAATCACTCACAAACTCAAACACATGGAGACTGTGAAACTATTTTTGGTCTTTCATGTTTTCTCTTATATTCTGCTTTCTCTCTTAAAACCTGTGACGCTGTAATGATTCGCTTTTTTTTCGCAGCAAACTATCACCAAATTTAAGGGAAAAAACAGAAAAAATCTTAAAAGATAATTAAAAAGGGGACTGTAAAAAAAAAAAAAGAAAAGTGACTGTAAAAGCATTAAAAAAAAATTAAGGCTACGATTGAGGCTTTCTTGATACAATGACCGCGAGGTAATGTCTTCACTGTAGCACTTTATACAGAAGGCTCATAATATAACAGATTAGAGATTGGAGATACCTGTCCAAAGTCAATCTGTATGTACTCGTTTTTGTTTTTCTCTTTGGCACACCAGTACTTTCCGTTATGCAGCCTGCCATAATGCGGGAGATCTGCTGGTCTGGATGAAGACGCAGTGATCTGGCTGTCTTTAATATCACCGCTCTGCATTCCGAGAGGGTCCACACACTCTATAAATAAGGTATATCTAATTTCAATTGAGCGCGTTTCGATCGTGTCGCGCCAACCATTACCAAAGGTTATAGTAAACTTATTGTCCCTAGAAAAACAAATAGATTATCACCCGAAATCTCGGGCTTTATTTAAGAAAAGCTTTCGCCATCTTTACTTTCCTTTAATGGAACCCGCTATGTTATGCAACCTTGTGCACGTGCTTAACAAACAAACTTATCATGCCGTGTCATCTTTTTTTTTTAATGTGATTTGTCCGATAGGCTATGTTCCTTGTGAATCGAGCGTATTTGTGCCCCTCTTAGAATTTTACGGAAAGAATGGTTGATTACTTGGCCATTAAAACCGCCTCAGTTACTTCTCTGTTGTTAATTTGGATTTTGATAAATAATCTCTCGGATAAGAAACCTCATGTACATGTTGCATTAAAATAATTCGTAACTCTACATTGAAGTTTTTACACACTGTTCAGCTGTATGTTTCACCAACATAAATTACCTTGCTTTGCAAACCATAGTTCCAGCCGTCGTTCATCGCATCCTGACCACAATACCATGTGTCTGTCGACGCCAGGCCAAGCTCCATATGTATGGACGCATTTCCCGGTATTTAGATGCTTCAGAGACCGTCCTGTCGAAAAAATAGTTTAAACACTTTGTTTAAAAGACAGATAAGTGTACTGTAACGTTAGAAATGAACACAATGAATATATATTAATTACGTTGTGAGAAGACGAGCGAATCATTTCCAAACGTATTTACATTTTATTAAGGACTTATATAAGAGTTAATTTATATTCGATTTAGGTTGCTCAATCTCTTCCAATCTGATGAAGTGCTGTTGCTGTAAGTAGCAAGACCGTAGAAAATAAAAAAAACGTCGTGTTAGAGTGCCTTCCAAAGGATATACATTTTTCGGTGTTATCTCTGACTAAACTTACTTGCAAAAGTCAAAAGCCTTTTCCATCATTAAAAGAAAAAAATTCTTCCCAATTTCCATTTATCTTTCCCAGATTTTGGAGAATATAAGATGAACAAGAGTCAGTCAGGTTTGAGAGAGTAGTGTTGTGCTCAAGTGAACAGGGGTTAGCGGTGAGTGGATTATGTTTGTATCTCAAAGCCTTTATCAGTCTGTCAGAAATACTCAGAGACGCATATTCCGGACCCCAGTGAACTTTTAACAAGCCCACCTCTCTAAAAAGCCCTTTGACTGAAAGCACACACAGTAATTTACGAAATCAAGGAGCGAAATTACATCAAACCTGATGTCCGCTTAAATTTCGAATCTTCTGTTTTGCACGTACTGCTAACAACAATCTTCACACCATTACCAGTGCCGCCATTCTCGGGACACACCATTTTACCACTGCAATTATGACGTAACACCCCGTCTGCATCAAGTGTAAATTGGAAATGACTTTCTGAGCACAGACCTCCAGGTCTGTATATTAAGCGGTCGTTGTCATTTGGCGAGCAAGACTGGTTTGATGGAGTGAGACAAAGATCCAGACCGTATGACTTAAGAGGAGTTGCGGCAGTTGGACTAACTGTGGAAACAAAACAAATTAACTTTAAACTAAATTAATGAGAGTTTCATGAGGTTGATATATTCCGTAAACGCAAAGCCAAAGCAATACAAGTGATTTCACCCCAAATTCCTGTATGCATTGTCGCCACAATCATTAGCGATAAATTAACATGATCCAAGCAATTCACTGAATGATACTTTCTGTTACTGTCTCAATTTCCTGAAATGTTTAAGGAGGATTTTTAAATCAAAATTTCCAAAAGTACCCCAGAGTTACAAAATTCTTGTGGTGACTTTTGTTGAAAGTCTAAATTTGGCTCTTAATTTTTCCAATGGTTTCTTCTATATTTCCCAACCCTTTTCTTAGAAACACTTTTCCTACAAAAGGAAACAAAATTAAACATTTTGCCTTTAATAACAATAAAGCCATAGGCATGAGTCTTGTCTTTTCACTCAACTTCCTACAAATTATACTTTATTTTTTCATAAATTCTCATTATTTTTCAAAACAGATTTCAGCAAGGAACGAGGATTTCAGAACCAAGTTTTTCTATTGAATTAAAATAAAAGCTAGAAGGAAATAAAGGAAATTTAACCTATTTCAAAGCAGAGTCAAATATGGCCAGAAATTAAATTAAAAAATTTTTCCCTACAATATGACATGACATTTACCTTCACCCGCTGAACACCCCAGAAACTCCGTTCTTAGACAAGGCCAGCCATTCCAGTACTGAGGATTGATACGAAGATATCGAGCGCTGACTCTTGGATTCAGGGTTCTGTGGTTCACACTAAAATAGTTGGTGTTTCCTTGTATAATCTTAATAAAAATACAAATTAATTAATTGTAATAGTAACTATATGCACTACCACTAGCTGCTCACATCAGTAAACGATGTTTGCATAGCGATGCAGTGCTTTCATGAAGACCACTGAAAAAGATATCGTTCTATACGTGTCAGACTAAACGAGTTAAAGGAGAAACAGTGATTTAAAAAGTGTCGTAAATGTAAAGCTGAAGATATCTCTAATAGTTTTCAGTGCAAGTATGTTTCAAAAAAGACCACATCCTCAAATGACCATTTGATAACCACAATTTTTTTTAACCTCTGATGAGTAGTAGATTTCTACCCACTAGCTAATTGCTATGCACTATCTATTTCCATGTAATTTTTGAAAAGAAGTGAAGGCGTTGTCAATCAAAACATTATCTCATCGACCATTCGCTGTAATATATTTTGATATTGTTAGGAGAAGTTACATGTTAATCGGTTCTGGAAATTTGGAATTAACTTATTACATGAACCAAAAAATAAAAGCTAACAGCACTGAAAGGAAATCAGCGACATACACAACTTTTAAGTGGGCTTCAATTTAGCCCCAATGCTGGCAAAGTGCTTCTATCGAAAAAGAGCAGTGGGACTTTGATGTAACCCCTGTTGCTCATCTCTAATCTTTCACCTCTCCTAGCGGTCAGTGTGAATTAGCAATCAACCGATGCAGGATCAAAAATACTGTTTCACATGTCATACTCGTTATGCAAAGGCAACTGGGTTCACTCACTGTTTTAGTTTGATTGCAAGGGTATCCATCGATTATGTATGAATCTCCTGGACACTGAAAACAAAACATGGAATTTCTTGTTTTAGTGCTTCATTTATGAAGCAATTGCATGGTCAGTCATTAATGTGGTACAAAATCATTAATACTGAATTCATTTGTTAGAGCTATACTTACATCCCGAGAATTACCAGTGCAGTATTCCGGAACATCACAATCTGTTTTGACTCCACGACACAACGATCCTTGTTTCTTGTACTAAAAGGAATGATTGAGAGAGTATGATGTTTACATCCACCCCGTTAACTTGGTGCGGCACTCTCATGGTGTTATTTTTAAACTTCTTCTTTAAATAGTTTCGAAAAGAGAATAGTCCCTCAGAAGAAAAAGTAACAACAATATGCTGTGAAACTGCAGCATATCATACAGACAAGTGAACATCTCAATTCCGGAATCGCTAGACTAGTGACTTACAGACAACTTACCACTGACAAAAAAAGGGGAAAAAAATACCCTAACGCTTTTTTTTAAATCTGTTCCACTTCTGAAAAAGAATTTCTAAAGCATTTATGTTCTTTAAGCCAAATTGAGACTGGTTGTCCATTATATGCAGACTTGCCAAGGTCGTAATTTTCATGTGTAATTCCTTATCCCGCTTCTACTAATTTATCGAGTTTTGGCGATGGCAAAAGAGATGTGGAAGGCACTGGGGTGAAAGTTTTCATAAGGTTATGGGGGCGTTTTTCCTTAAAAAATATTTCTCTCATCTTTTGTTAAACTTTTTCCAGCACTGTCCTCCCGTTATCATTTGATTCCTTGAATCAGCCGACAACGATTCACAAAATCGGCTGAGAGTTAAAGCTCCCCAACCAACGATGCTCGCGCTTAGGAAGTTCTCAGAGGTATTTATGGTGCTGCTTCATCAAATTACTTCTCAGCAAGCTTATTTAAATGAATTAAATGGATTATAATTCTACATTACACTACCAGGCAGTTCTCGCAGCATGAATGGTGTAGGTCACTGCACTGCGATTCCTTTTTAAGAACACAGTTGTGAGGCTCACAACAAGAATCCTTGATCTGACACATCTGAGGAAATTAATTAATATTTATTAAATTCTCGCAAAAAGCTCCGTCTTTGCTATCGTCGAAGTAAAACTTAATTGTGAAAATTGATTATTGTTTTGATTTAAAAACTCTTGAGTGGTATAAGGTACCTAAGTTAAAAAAAAAATCACTTGCAATTTATGACTAGTCAAGTTATAAATTGCATCCATTCTGCCTAAGCGATTACAAGGTCTCAGTATTCCACTCTTCTTCAATACCAATTTACCAATACCAATTTTAAAAAATTCGGCCGCTCGTCCATTCAGATCGAAAACTGGCAAAAAAATCAATAACTTGACTTACTGGAGCTCTGACTGAAAGCTTAGTCAACGAGGCTGAGAATGGTAGATAATTCTCTTTAACTGAGTGAAGCAGAAAACAATTAATAGTAACCTCGTTGTTTACATTGTTAATAGTTTTTTAGCATGATCATATTCCTTGATCAGTGATTTCCCCTCAAGATCTCTGAACCTGTTCTAAGACAATTGTGATCAAAGAGACCTGACTTGTTAATTATGTTTGAGAAATAAAAACAAATGTTGGAAAAATAAAAGCTGAAATATTTAATACAAATACAACAATGACAAACCTCAGGAGTGCCACAGTCACATTCTTCTCCTTCTTCACGGATTCCATTCCCACAATAACTGTTATAAGACTTGAAAACGAGAAAATCAAACAAAAATGAAACAGCCTTGTTTCTATTACATGATTTCACTAAATGAAGTGACCGACGCTTTGTAGGGTGCAAGACTATAATTACCCAATAATATTCATATTAGCAATTTACTGAAAACCTTCAATCGAAATAATAAAACTATAGTTGTCCGACGTTTCGATGTTGCTGACCTCATTACCAAGGTTAAAAAATGAGAGTTTTATCGCGGTATGAATATAAATGAGTGGAATTAATGTCTATTATTCTAGTTCCACCAATTTATATTTACACCGCGAAAAAACTCTCATTTTTACCTTGATGACGGTTCTAGCAACCTCGAAACGTCGGACAACTATAGTTTAAACATCGAAACGTCGGACAACTATAGTTTAGTTATCAATATTTATGTTGCATGCTTTATGAAAAGAATGTTTTTCCACGAAGTTCAGTTAGCACAATGTTTGATACATCTGTTACCATAGTAACTACTCCTTCTTGAAATAAGATTATGTACCTTGTGTGTTGGCACGTTATATAAGCACCAATCATTGAGTCTTTGAAGTGAAGTCATACTACAGTTAGAAAATCCTGGAACTCTGGCCCTGCGGATCAAATTTAATATATTTGTGATATAAACAAGCATCAATCTCTAAGTCCAAAGTTGCCGATAGGGTTACATGAAAGGACGAATTATTTCCGTTCAAATTTTTCGTGTTCTTTGGCTTATTATCGACCCAGTCCATCGCACAATTTTATTTGATTCGTCAATTATGTCAAAGTAACTCTATTTACAGTATCTGTACTGAAAGATTTGTCACTTGTAACCTTGTAGTATTTGCACAATAATAGCCATTGCTTGTAATTACAGTTTGGTTTTGGTTACATGACATCCAATCACAACGCTCCTTATTGAGTCGTGTAGCCTGCTTGTTTTAGATTAGATGTATTGGCCTCCGGCTGGCTCTTATTGCCCAAGCTGAAGATTCTTCTTGCGAAATGGCGTGCACATATCTATTATGCAAATATCACATACTTGTGACCGCCCATGATGCAGCCTCTTGGGGTCAAACACTTGCAGCTTCCTGGGAAAAGAGTTCATTACAAATGAGCGAAAGAGAAGATGATCCCGCAAACAATCACTTTGTGATGAATTCATTTGTAAGTTTGCTTTCAGAATTTCTCTTCATTAAGTAATAAGGTCACTTTAACGTATTCAGTGGAGCAAATGACAGAAATCTTAAACAGAAAAAACTTTTGCACGTCTGTTTTGTTATACTGACGATCTTTTAAAGTAGGGGAAAATGATTAAAATAATAAGTTATGTTCCTTTCCCTTAATAGGTTAACCATATCAGCAACAAAGTTGTTAACAACTTGGGCTTGCGTTAAACACGAATAAAATACATAGAGAAATGAAAGAACTAGTAATCGAAAAACTGAACAACTAAAGTAAACCGTGAAAGAAATTTAGATTTTGTTATCTGGAGATAGTACAGCGAACTAGTAGAGTTAGGGAGGTTTTAATGGTTGCTGAGAGATCCCACCTGAACCTTGTCCACCTTTAGGTTAAGGCTAGGATTTCTAAGTATCTCGTCATTCTTACCTTCGTCATGGCTGAATCCAAAGTTGTGACCCATTTCATGTGCCAGTATTACATAAGGGCCAATGATGCTTCCATAATCCCACTTGGAAAGTAAAAGTAAACAACTTAAGTTCGATCTCTTAATGTAGCTATCAAGCCCGTTAAGATTAACTAGACCAAAATATCAGCCTCCTACAGAGACGTTTACATAAACGATAATGCATCTATGCATAATCTTAAATGTTCAGCTTCCAATAGTGTGAGGAGTCAAGACTCTGAAGTGATTTCTTCAGTGTCTTGTACATGTTATGAAAATATCGTCCAGTTGTGGTAACCAAACATAACCATAGACATCCAACCAGTCTAGGTTTTATTAATAGAAATTACAAACAGCGAAAATAGTAAACAAGGGTGTTTAGGGCTGTAGGAGACGAGGGAGATTAATCACTCATGACAAGCTCTAGAGTTTTGGGTGAATCTGTTTAAGAGGTACGTCGAACAAGGGGCAACTACTTTACAGCATCATTTTTAAATTTGTTGCTACAACTTGACTCAACTTCTCTATAAGAAGCTCTGATTTATGGTTTGCTCAGTATTTGACACCTATGCTTGAGAGGCTATCTGATTTCACTTTGTTTGATTTAAATTAAAAAAACCGAATAAGCATGTATCGTTTTCGGAAAGTTGTTAACCAATCACATTGGAGAGTTGATCTTCCAAGTGACTTTCATTCGTACTTAATTAGAGAGCACTCATAGGACGAAATTGCAAGAATCCGTAAACGGAAACGTGGCAGAAACATGTTAAACCGTTCTGGAAACACGACGGATAACCTGTGTTTCCGTTACCGGTTTCGTGAATCAGTCGATCGGAAACATGTGATTTCGTCCTGTGACTGTTATCAGTTTTCGCAATCAGTCGATCACTTTTTAACTTACATTATTAACACCGGTTGATACAGAGCCACACATCCCAAATAGGAACGCCATGCCAGCACAGTCAGACCAACGCCACTCGCTGAAACGAAAAAAAGAAGGGAACTCTATGCAACTTCTCCAATGATTAAAGATAAATTTTTTTCGTCCATGTAAAACCAGTCCGAGTTTTGGAGCCCGAAGCCAATGAAGTTGTGTGTTTTGTGCGTCATCCATGTAATCCTATATTTCTTAAACAAATTTGGAGCTTAGGTATTTAGTCAGGGAACTTAGCAGAACCATGACAACCGTGATCAGTTATATTGTTTCGTACTTAATATTCTACTTGGTACGATGAACAATTAATGTTTTATCAGTGAAACTTTCCACAATTAATCGTAGACCCTACATTTCCCCTACTACAATATTTTTTTAAGAAACAAAAAGTATTTCGAACTTCTCTCTCATCTTTGATTTATTAAAATGCGAAATTTTCTTACCTCAGTAACTGTGCGTTGTCATGAGGAAATTTTTTTATTAAATGGTCGTTTCGATATGAAGTAAAGCGACCAAGGTCAGGTCCTCCTTTCTTTTGACGCTCAAAAGGATCGCCATTCGTCCAAATTTCCAACGCTTTCAAGACTACCCTGATATTTATCCGCTGATAAATCTAAATAAAGAAAAATAGGGAAGTCATGATAGACATTCCATTAGACTGATTTGTTCGCTGCTGCTCTCCCGTGGGGACTAGGAAAATGATTAAATATCCAAATAGTTGAATATTAAAAGGGAATTAAAAATGAGAATGGAAAAATTTAAAAATGGGAATGGGAATTTAACATGTCCACTGTTTCCAGATCGAATTGGAATTTGGACCGTAGGTTGTTTATTAAAAGGCCAATTTTTCTCTGGATTTCGATAGTGACTTCCGTTCTGGCTGCCGCAGCCTGAGTAATTCAAGATCATTGACAAGAGTTGTTTTCGTGATTACAAGTAACCAGAAAGTCGTGATTCACTCAGTAAACTGATTACTCACGGCATCAACAGCGTTTGCCAGTGTTATCACTCGGTCCGTGATTACTTTGGTGTCATTGTTGTGTTTCAAGTACTAAAAAATTAAAAGCAAAAAAAAAAGGAAACCCTCAGTAAGTACCGAACCTAATAATTACGGAGCAATTAACAAATCACGAATTCTTCTTTAAGACAGGGATCTAGCCCCTTTTACTCCCCAAATGAATTTCATATCTTCCATAAAATCCCATATCCTCAATGTCACCAAAACAAAGTTTAAATGTGACAAACTCTTTCGTAAATTACAAGATTGTTCATACGAATTTTTTGCTTTCCCGACCATAGTAAGGTGTGATGGAAAACCAGGTAACTTGCTTTCCTGATCGTGTTGTCAAGTTAATTAACCTTTTAAACCTGAAAGACACTAAGAACTTTTTTCTCCCCATAATTTACCCCTCGATTAAAGATAAAAGTCAAGAGAATAAAGGAAACGATTATTTGATACATTCCCTTTTCAGGACCGTAGAGAAAGACTGGGAAAAAGTATGGAGAGTATAAAAACCACTGATAGGGTGCAAACGATTAGTGTAACATAACGTTCTTTCCTGTAATAAATGCATGGGAACTTGAGGATAAAATTTTACTCTGAGATCATTACGAATCTCAAAATTTATCGTATTACTTACCATTCCAAAATCTACAACCAATAACAGCTCATTGTATCTCGTCTCATCTGTTGTCAAAAATGGTTTGTAGAATTCATCAACGTGGCCCGATATGCTTCGTCTTATCTAATGAAAACATTAAAAAAATCATGATATATTATGCTGTTTCCAGTTTTTGCCTCTCTCTCACTCTTACCTCTTATCCACGAGATCGTTGATGTATAAATGAAAAGAAGAAATTCCTAAGGAAAAAATTCTTATCAATATCTTACCCGAGACATAACACCTGACTTTTCCACTGATTGATGCAAATCTGCATGAGTTTCTTTGTTTCCTGAAGTAAAGAAAGAAACCAAAAATTGATATTAGAAACAAATTTATTGAAAAGGACTACGGAAAGTTTGCATGAGTCTTCTAAGTAAAAATAAACACTTTTCTCTTTTCTTTGAGTGTGCTTATGTCTTTGCATTCACGGCTGAGCCAAATCTTGGCTAATAGAACGCTTAAGCACATCGACTTTCACACTGAAATGAATAGAGGCAAAGCATCCGTCCGTATTCATCAGCTTTACGTGCAGAGGTTGTGAGAGAATATTTTGTCAAACAAGAACGCTATTCAAACCATAGAAATCTCTTACTTACTTACTAGAGTTACAAAGATGGTCGTTAAAACTTGTCTAAACATTAGTCCACGTAGTTGAAAAATAAATGCTTTATGGCTAGCTCCACTTTTTTTTTTCTGTGGTAAAATTCTATTTCCGCCAATTGCCTTACCGCAGTTATCCAGGATGTGTTTGGCTTCGTCTTCATTTGCTTGGAATATTTTGTGGGCGCCAGTTTCCTACAGTGAAATACAATCACGCATATAATTACTAAGCGGTGTTATAACTGGTAATTTGAAATCATGAAGAGGAATCAACAGTAAAATTCTGTGTGTTATTAAATCAAACTCTTATTTCGATAATAAGACTTACTTCTCCTCCAGACTCAGGTGTAATATAAAATGTATCTTTGCCATCATCTACGAGCCCCCTGGTTAGGAGAAATTGTAAAAAATTTCTTCTTCATTCACCTTTATACTTGTCCATGTCTCTTGTGGTCATCATTGTCTAATCAAGGGACCCCAATTATTTTGTTTTGGACTCTTACATAGGTTTAGTTAAAGTTAATGGCTAAAATGCGGTATTAAAAAAATACAATAAAATAACAGACGTGTAGTGAGACCCAGCCCGGTGTGGGTACAAAGCAAAGACTTCCGTTCGGTTTACCGTAGGTGTTGAAAAAAAAATGTATTTTTTTCTCTTTGTGAAAGTGTCTAATAAATTTTTTTTATACAAGGCACATACGCCTACGTACGTTGATTAAAACCATAAAACTCGTGTCGGCAAATCACCGCGGAGTTCTTCAATATGGGTCACTGTTGTACTTTTAACTTCATTCATCCTTTAGAGGAAAGGAATATTCAATTTTATGGATAAACCACGATGCATAATTTTTTAACCGCTTGGATGTTTTTGTAGCGCAAAAAAGAAATTGTTGTGCTAGCTTTCCTTTTAAAGCAGTGCTGCAACTGTTTTTATTTAAAGCGGTTAACGTTTCGACAACCAGTGCGTACGTCATTATAAAATCATTTGAATCTGATGTGATATGCTGACACTGAGAACAGTTCTTTCACACGCCATACTGATCTGGACGATTATACTGCCCAACTATTTTATCGGTTTGTCTGAGCGTTTCAGTAAATTGCGTAACAAGCTGAGCTATTTTTACGAGGCACCTTGGGAATATTTTTCATGAATGAGGGCTTTTTTAATACCTCAGTCCTGAACAAGTGTTTAACACAACGGTTGAATCTGCTAGGCCTCGGATGGACCCTTGATAATGACAATGATCAGGACCTCCCTGAAAAAGATTTAAAAAAAGATACAAAATGTTCAAGGTGAACCGGGTTAACGAGTGTAGCACTTAATAACTTACGCAGACAGAAAAAACTTTATATGTCCACGATAGATTTCGTAGGCGATTCTCTTGTGAAAAACAATTTGCCAATAGATGAAAGACAACACAGTGATTATGCATCATACAAAACGCAGCTTAGTAAATTTGAGTTTGTCACTTCAATTTCGTGCGGGGCCTCTTCATCCCTAACATTCGCGTTAGGATTTGGGTATAAAACGAAAAATTTTAGAAATGAAAAGGGTAAGATTATATAAAAACTGTGGGGCCATGGGCAATTTGGTTTTATCAAATGAGTTGATAATTTAAATTGGCCAATGTACCTTAGAAACTGCTGAACACTTTACGGTGGCCAGTTTACATTATCAACGCACTTGGTAAAACCAAATTATCAAACTCTAGAGATTATGCACATAGGCATTCACAGATCAACAGTGGAAGGAGGGAGTGATGGCAGTTAGGGAATGTAAAACTCTAAATCTCAGGCAACAGTTTTCAACTATTCAAAAGCCAGTCGTCATGCACCACATTAGGTTGCCAGGTAGTTTGGTTTGCTGGTATTCCTGTGGTAAACTTTTTTAACATGCTAGTGCCAAAGTAAGTCTAATTACATGTTAATGAGGATAAACAAACTTATAACAAAAACTTTTGAGCCAACATCCGGGAAAACGCGGGCGACAAAGTCGTGATTGGTTTTAGGAGTGCATCTGATTGGTTGACACAGTGGCGCTAGTTTTCTAGACCAATCACAGAGCGAAATATAAAAAAAACAATGCAATCTCAGATTACTTTCAACACTTGATTTAACACTGCTCTAAACAATGCTAAAAAATATTAGTTTTTTGCAAATTACCTCTTGAATAACTTCTGAACCATCACTAGCAAATGTGCGAACGACAAATGATGGAGAAATAAGATCTCTATGAGATGAACAAAGAAAAACAAAACGACCGGTTATCTCTCTCTCATAAAGAATAAGAAGAAAAATAAATGAATCATAACCCAAAAATTGACGGATTTTAGAGACCAGTGTCACTTTTTGTAACGTTTCATTCTGCATCCCTTATCAAGAAAGAGGGAAAAACCTGCCCACGTTACTGGTTAGCATTTCTCGCTAATATCCCAGTGATGGTTTACAATCTTTTCGAGAAAAGAAAAGTTCACCAGAACTGTAAATATCCTAAAATTTCCCCCTTATTCCTAGTCTTTGAAATTGTATTCTAGTTTGATGACAAGATCTATTTTCTCAAAAATTTGAAGTCACGAAGTCTCTCTACCGAGTAAAAGAGATAACCAGAACACTTACACGACGAAAATGATCAGGTTTTTTTTTTATCAATGCTTAGGTGAACCTCCAACATGCAAACAACTTTCCACTAAACAGAGACGTCTTGAAAATTAGTAGACTTTGGTCAAAAGTCAGTCGTATGATGAAACCAAACATACTTATTTCGTTTTATATCTAGGGTCCAGTCCTTGTCAGGGGTATTCAGTCGATAGGAGGCGTCATCCACGTGAACTCCCTGAAACAAAGTAACATCATCATCCAGGTCTACCGAGCTGGCATAATTAACAGTTAATCTTGGTTGACGAAAGTGATTTATAGGAGCCAAAAGTGGTTTTCTATGAAATTAATTCCCAGAAGAATGTTTTAAATAAAAAATTGCTCCGTTCTGCGTTTAAAAATAAACCAAAATATATATATATATATATATATATATATATATATATATATATATATATATATATATATGATTCCGTTTTATCCCAATTGAATGCCAGGTTATCCATTCTTTTTCCCCGTCCATTTTTCAAACAGGTTTGCATTACACCAATGGTTTTAATTCAACCCTCTAGCGGAGAATTCAAAAGCTTACGTTCAGAAAAACGTTTCAGCGACTGTAAAAGCGTTTGTCTTAAAAAAAACCTTTTCAGATGTTGACAAATCCCTTTTTCCCCGCCTGCCATCCACGCGTTCCGGGAATGTGATGTGATAGTCGCTTTGATAGGCCATGTCTGCAATTCCAAATTTTCTTTGTTAGAGAATTAAAAAAAAAAAGGGAAAAGAAAGTCAATAATACAGCATTTATAAACCGCATAATGCTTCGATACCATCATTATATCTCTTTCAAGTAAAAAAAATAGGAAACTTACTTGCAAACTGGGAGCTTGCGAATTGCAAAAGCAACCACAATGTGCTGATGATCAACCAGACGCCAACTTTCATCTTCCTCTAGTTAAGGTTAGAAATTACATATCACAAAAATAAATATGTTTTGTCAAGTTTTTAACCATGGCCGTCTCTTAGCATAGCTAATTAAAAGTTCTTAGTGCTTTTAAAGTCGGTATTTACAAAAAATATAAAAGGCTTTTGCCGTGTCATTGTTCTCATTGTCGACGTTGTCACTGCTGAGTTTGTTTATAGGGTTAACAAGAAAATGATTTTCGCTCGGGTGATATTCGTTTTTAAAGATAAATCACAACGAAAACATCATGAAAAATTCATTTTTTGCATTCCTTTTCCCGCTAAAAGTGGACAGTTTTCCTAAATAAAATGTTCTTTTTATTAATAACATCTCGATTAAAATTTCTTACAGCTCCATCACATTAACACTCATCTATCGGCCTTCAAAATAAAAACTCCATTACAAGTTTCTTTTTTCACCCACAGCTAATACTGGCAATACGTTACAAATTTGTCAGTTATAAATTAAAGATTAGATTTTTTTCTTAATTCTCAGGATCCTCGATGTAACCTTTAATTATTAATTTTAAGAATAGCAGTAATCGCTATCAAGTCGTGATTTGATAAAAACCACAGTTTGCGACTCATCTAAACTTTAATTAAAAATTTACACAAGATTTTTTAACCATCCAATGAACAAACCCCTTCAGTTCAGTTTCAATGCTGATAGTAGTTTTAATCGCAAAACCGATAAAAACTGGAAAGTTACATCCTTTTTCCTTTAATTGTAAATATGGCCTCAAGGGACATTTAATGAAGGCTTTCGCAGCTGAAATATTACATTTACTTTTAAAACATTAGAGGTTAAAAAAAAAGATATTGTTGACATTAAAAGACATCCAAAACATTTATTAAGAAGACAAAATCAACATTTGTTTAAATAATACCAGGTAACTTTTAGAAAGGCTCAGGTAACTTTTCGTTTCACTATTTCTATGACCACCATTGAGCCGAAGAATTTGGTCGTGACCATGAGATGAAGGAATTGTTGAACTTCATAGAAAACAGAAAAGGTATTCAGATTAAACTCTAGGTTTTTGCACGGCGGGCCATGTTGTTTAACATTTAAAAACTTTCACGACCTCTGAGCTTAACTGACGCTAGAATTATTAAAAACGAACTAACCAGCAAGAACTGGGTATCATGCACATGTAGGCACCGTAGTGTATTGCTTAGTTGGTTAATGAAGTAATGCAAGTCAAGCATGTTCCTGCTCTTATGAGACACCTCACGTATCTTCTCGAAGCCGATTGATTTTCAAAATTAGCAGGTAATCTGTCACACAAAAGTGCTACCTTTTAAAATTGAGAGTAACCTCCAAGGAGCCATTCAATTAACTTTGCGATGCCAACCTACATAACCAGAATTTGCAAGGTTTGATTAAAAGACATAAGTTATGCCCTACCTGCAAACTTCTTGCTTTCAGAGCCTAACTACACTTTGCTGGTCCAGCCTTGTGTAATAGCTGTCTTTCAGCCATATATGACGCCAGAATAAGACACAATGAAAACTAATGTTAGCATGGCGGTCAAAAGATGTGTTTTTGTTGATTTAGCTGTTCGAGTTCAAAGTGTGAAACAAAGACATCTTACAAAGCCGGATGTTATTTTTCCATCGCTGTATACATTTAGCTAACAATCGCAACTGACATTTTTTGAAAAACACGGGCTTGATTTATTTCCGCGTCGGTGCAATTTTGACAAATACCTTGTAAGAAAAGCTCATTTTTATCATTCTTACGCTCCTTTCGAAAAACTTTCACCTTTACTTTAACTTTATCTGATGAACCAACAAAAACTTGCGAACCTCTCGACAATTCTAACAAAGATGTGATCCCAATAGCACGCTGAGATGTTACTTCTCAGCTTTATATTTAAACAAACTCCTAGCAAATCAAAGTCTCTTCCCGTGTGGCCCCAACAATGGTCTTGTACATCATTATATGAACAGCACCTAGTCATAAAGCCAGGTTATAGACGAGCAAAGTGTTTTTGACTCATTTGCAAAGAGTTCTCTCTATTTCAAAACTGGTCAATGTTTGGTTCTCCATTATTTTCATTTTTTTAAATATTATGTATTTACTTTGTATTTCAGAGTTTTCCCCATAATGCAATGAAGAATTGGAAAACTAACTTTTGTTTTCATCCCAAAGGAGGATGGCCAAACGAGGGTGTCTACCTCGTTTACTACAAGGGATGGCGATCGGCTGAGGTTCAACTTCTTTAATCTCAGTTGGCAGATTTATCACATAAAAGCGATTTTCTGCGGATTCAGATATCTTTTTGTACTATCAATTTAAGGGCGTAGTTCGGATTTTTTAAAGGATGTGACAGGGAAGAAAGAGAGAGGGGGAGGGGGGGCGGGGGGGGGGGTGACACTTTCGAATTTTCGCTGCCATACGTGATGTGGACCATACCGCTTACTTACCACGTGTATCATCAGTGGGCTCGTATTCACGCAAACAGAGGCAGCTGCAAATTAAGTATACAGCGCTGCGCCACCTGAAACAAAAGCTTTTTTGAGTTGATGAACTTAAAAAAGTGATGAATAACGGCACCTACCCCTTCACTTACATGGCCAATAAGATTGGAGATTTTTACAAAAAGGGATGATAAGCATCGGCCGAAACAAAAGGCTAGGGTGCAAAACTTCTTCGTGATTTCACATCGGAAATGAAAGGAACTGTAGCTTTTTGAAACGATACAGTAGGACTGCCTTCGAATAGCAAACTGTTTTCGCTGTGGTAAGTTCCCCTTCCGCACATTCATACAGACACGCACGCATCCATACACGCGGTTAAGATTAAGGGGGGGGAAGAGTTCAGCCGTTATCGCCTAAAGGTGGCTGGAAACAGCTTTCCCATGCTCTGGCCACCAGCTAATTTTTTAAAATTCGCTCCAAGGCGAGGCCTCTTCTCAAGAAAGAAAATCCTGAAGTTGTGAGAAAGTCTATCAAGGATTTTCTGAGACAGTCCTTAAGAGCTCTTTAAAATTATTCCCCATAACATTAGCACAATAGTGGCGCCCACTATGTCAAACTTCAATCCTTTAGTCAACACAAGGGTGAAATTGGTTTAACTGCGAATAGGGAAAGTTTGAGGTTTTTGAGCGCTTTAAATGTAACTGGCAGGACTCAAAAATTGTTTCCAGCCACCTTGCGTATCCCGTGACCTTTCATGTCGCAGTCACGTTCCACAGTAAAGTCTCCCACACGGTCGTTATTTTCAATGCCACGCACCAGTCCCCCTTAAAGATTACTCTTAGCATTGCCTTTGAGTGTTAAAAGTATTCAAGGATAAGATTTAGACATTTTAAAGTGTACTATCGGTTTATAAATCACAGAGAAACTTTATTTTTTGGTTTTGGTCAAACCTTTATTTTTTGGTTTCCATTCTACTATTCAGCTTTACATTTCTGTGACAAGCCCTCTACAACTCTTTAGCAAATTTAACTTCGCTTGACATCGTTTTATTCATTCAAAGAGTTTTATTATCAATCTAAAGGAAGAAAATGCATATGCCGTCAAGGCCATCATCGAGTAAGTGTGACTTCTGTGGTGAACCCCATGGACAGCTGCTTGAACACGATGGCATTCCCTTTAACTGCGCCGTCAGATATTGGTATCACCATCACATGATTTGTTTTATCGGCGTCTGGGACAATCTCTCCGTTTACTCTCACATCTCCAGTTGCTACATTCACCGCACTGCTGACTCCCACCTGAGATAAATTATTCATATTGGAAGTTAAGATCTAGAGCCGTTCTTTTGGAGAGCTTTTGGATTGAGCGTTGTTGAACCAAAGTAAAGTAATTACAGCGGACAATCGGAAGAAAGAAAAATATCCTGGAGTGCCAATCAGAACTCAAAGTAAAATACAAGCAAACCGCCAAAAGCGCGGGAAAACGCGGCGACCGAATGGTTTTGTATCTGATTGGTTGAGAGAGTGGCGCGAGTTTTCTGAACCAATCACAAATCAAAGTAAAGCAAACCCGATGCAATTCCGGGTTACTTTCAAAACTCAATTGAAAATTGTTCTGAGAGACGAGTGTAATTATGAATTGCTTTGCTACTATTTTACTGTTCTGTGAAGGTCCCGAAAACTCATTCCTCCTTCTAAATCACTCAGATCAAAAAGAAAATCAATCTCAATCACAATCTAAGTGGTCGCAGTTAGGTTCGTTTACTTCGGTTTCTTTTGACTTTTCACAGGTTTCGAGTGACAAACACATTCTTTCTAATTGGTCATTATTATTACCCTAATAATTTTTTTAGGGTAATAAACTGAAGCTTAGGGCCGGTTTCGCTACTCGTCGAGTTCGCTGCGTTCGAGTTCTTTACATGTCCGCTTCTAACATGCCGAATTCGCTGCCTCTGTTAATTCACAGTTTTAATTTCTCTTTTAATCATAAACCACAGGCAATATCTGTAATTTATCCTCCATCTACGCGATTGCCGTTTTTAGGAGTAAGTTAAACTGATCATATGCAAATTGCCTTCTAGTTTGCTTTTAACCGTCTCGTTGATTTTTGTGATTGTTGCGAGGTTACGTTTTCACAAGTAAACCTGTTTGTGAGGTGGAACACATTGGCGAAGTCAACAAAATTGTAAGCTTCTTTCATAGAAATGTCCCTCGGTGAAAAGATGTCATCAATAAATCTCTTCCAGACCAAAGGTTAGAGGAGCTAGCCATAAATTTCTTAAGCATAAATTCTTAATTTTTTCCGCGTAAAATGTTGGGTTAAGATATTCATTACGCTAGAAATCATTTACGAATTCGGTTCAATGTTATTTTATAGTAAATAAAGCTTCATCCGAAAAATATCAGTCTTTAACTAAATTACTTCATACATCATCTCATATTATCAAGAATTTAGAAAAATGATCCTCTTTTATCAAATATCAATTAACTTATTTATCTTTATCATACATCATCAGGTATTACACGAACCACTTTATATCCTAAACATAATTTATAATAATAATAATAACTAATAATAATAATAATAACTAATAATAATAACTAATAATAATAATAATAACTAATAATAATAATAACTTATTTATCTTTATCATATATCATCAGGACTTACATGAACCACTTTATATCCTAAACATAACCCTAGTGTTTTTGTGTATAGTGTACGGAATGCTGCCCTTTGCGTGCATTTGGTCGACATTAAGGATGAAAGTCACAACCAAACAAAGTTCTACATTTCCATTTCGTTATCTCACAATTTAATTGTCCCAATACTGATCTTGTTCGGTACCAATAATTTACTTATCCTCGAGACGTTAGAAAAAAAGCAAGAATTGGCGATAAAGTTACAAAATTCCCAAAAATGGCTTTTTTTCATTTTCAATTTTCTCTGAAGTGATCGTTGTCTCAAAAAAGCCTGAAAATTTATTCAGCTTTTTTGATTTAGAGTTCCATCCCCACTGGCGGAGAAAAAGGTACAATCTTGAGCAAAAAAAGTTGTGTCATTTGTAGATAATCAAACAACTAACAGCCAATCAGACTGCAAGGACCAACAGTATTCTCAAAAAAGGGGTAAAAAAGAAGGAATATTAGTTTTCCGTTACCTCTATGTCAACTGGCGTGCTAACAGAATAAAACCTTTCTTGCGCAGTGATCTGAGAGGCAGAATCCAAAGTCTTGGTGATGTTGAAATTTAGATTTGGATAAGAGACTGCTATGTGCAAGGTATTGTCATCCGCTTCTTCCACCATCACAATACAAGGATCCTGTGAAATAAAATATCAGAAGAAACCTCAGATCAATCGATATTTATACAAAAACCATTTCACGTCCAGAAATCATCAAAAGGAATTTCCTTTACATAAACTGAAAACAAATATATTAATGCACCGAAATGGAGGTGGTTAGTGGTGGATATTTACCGAGCCGGGAAGCGACGAGGTAAATATCCACTGCTAACCACAGACACTGAAGCAAAATCGCAGAAAAAATATACTTTTAAATAATTTATTCAAGAAACGATTACAATTATTTCTGTCGCAAATCCGGCGCGATTTCTTTGGAGGTGAATAGCAAAGGATGAGTAGCCAATTAGAGCGCGCCTTCAATGCTATCCACAGTTTTAGTTTATACTTAATATATATATATATATAACTCAAGTTTCAATAACGTCGCATTCTGCTATATATATGAAATAAATCTGCCTTTCCTTTTTTTCATCAAAAAGGTTATGAACGATGCATATATATTTTACATCAAAGGAACAATCAGGACTAACTAACAAGCTTTACGAAAAAAACACAAATGAAATGCCTTTCTGAAGAGGAACGTTTAAAGTCTTTCTTTTCTTTTAGCAAAAGGAGACGCTCCATATATTCGCGAATTTCGTCCTCTCTGTTAGTCTCGTTAAACCAACTCCGTTTTTACTCCTATCTAAGCTAGACCACACTATAACAAGTTT